TAGCTGTTATAAGACAGGGACGCGTCATAGAACAAGGCAACCATAAACAATTAATGGAATTACGTGGATTTTATTACAAACTAAACACAGCCCAATCTAAAACTGAACTAGAGTGATATGGAATCCAGTGTTCCAATAGACGAAAGTGTTCAATAATGCTCTTAAAATGTGTTCTCATCGCCGCCGTCAGCATACTAAACTTAAACTGTGTATTTACAGTTAGCCCCGCTTAAGAACAGACACTGGACTGTAGTTGACAGACATTTTAATTCATAAATCGAAGATTTTAGTCGAAATTACTATAAGTATTTTGAGAACTATTCATTTCCCTTCCATTTTAAAATATTTGAATGGTTTATTTAGTCTTTTTTCTGTGTGACAGAATGTGAAACGGATTAGAACCATATAACAAAATAGTATACTAATTTCCTGCGTGCTTCCCCCTTGTCAGTGTTGCAGGACGGAGGGCCTGACAAGATAGCTCTCTAGTCGTTCGGATGGGACGAAAAACCAAAGTCCCGTGTACAAATTGGCGTGCACGTAAAAGATCCCTTGAAAGTTGGAATTCGATATAAGAGTAGGTCGTAGTGCCGCTGCCCGGGCAAAATTTTCCTCATAGCACACTATATGGCGTATGCCCGTCTTCATTAGCCCAGTTCGGAGCAGAACAGTAGGACGTTAAACCCCATTTCATTTCATTTAGTATACTAATTTTTGGATATGGCCGTCATTCAGGGCAGATATCTATTCTCGAAGTAGATAGTTCTCTGTGTAAAGTATAATCTGACAGATGCTGTGGACTATTTAAACATACATTATGCAAGAACTAAATCTGCCTATTGCGAGTCTTTCTTTAGGCCTGAAATGTTATCTAAATTATTAATTTAGACATCAATTGACTTAATCCAAACCATAATCAACTCTCGATGTCTTTGCTAGCCTACGATATTTTCTGGATTAGAATCCGATCTGCTGCTCAACGCTCATTGATGATTAAATCAAAAAATGGATAATCGAAATTTTAGGAATGATGATGCTAAATTCTTGGTTCAGAGTGAATCAATTTGACTGAAATTTTCAGCAAATATCCTTTACATCATCTAGTTTTTAACTATTATAGTGAAAACTGACAGCTCTTTATCTAATCTCCCATAATTTATCTGAAATTTTCAGCAAATACCCTTTACATTATCTAGTTTTTAACTACTATAGTGAGAACTTCCAGCTCTTTATCTAATCTCCCATAATGTATCTTTAACTAAGATTACAATTTATTTACATGTATTTAGCATTTAATCGTATTGCACTTAGTTTATTGGTCGACATTAGCACCAGTTCCCTTTATATGGAGCACGGTATTTTCTGTGCGAAAAAAATTTATTAAATTCAAAGTCCCCGAAAACAAATTGACTGTGCATTTAGAGTACATCTCCTGGGTGTCAGATCAGTTTGGATGCAGATCTATCGAAAAGAAAGTAAATCATTTCCTACCCGAAAAAGTGTCGGAAAAATATTGTCTTGCCACTCTCTCCACCCCTTGCGGGTTTGTTACTTGCCATTTTATTGAACCCAAATCAAGTTACTGAATGTGATAGTCTTTACGAATACCAAACAAATATGTGATATTTATAATATTTTAATAATTGTGTAGATTTTTGTGTATATCTAATAGAGGCTTTGTGTATGTTTATTCAGAGAATGAATAAATGAATTGGATGAATGAATTGATGAATGAATGGATGAATAAATGAATGAATGAAAATAAAGTTTAATGATTTAAAAGCAGTTTACTTTTATATACAGATCACAATTCTATGTTATGGAATACAATTACTGCTTGTTACTGAGCAACGTTTCGACTAGGCTTCTCTAGTCATTATCAAGCAATGGTGTCATTGAACCAATTTAGTCAGTTTACTTTTGTTTGTATTTCTATTTGTAAAGTAAAAACCAATGAATGAAATTAAAGTTGGACGATAAAAACGCTATTTGTTTTTGCTTGTATTTATATTTGCCAAATTGTTGAACCGGTTGGCCTATTTAGGCCTACAGTCCCTTGGTCTTTCTTTCGGTTCACTTGTTCTCAAGGCCTATTTGTTTTCAACGGCAATTCTCCCCAGTTATTTTACTAACCTTTAAAGACTCTCCATTTGTCAAAATTGAATATAATTTATGCACTCACTGGAGATTGTTTTAGGCGACCACAAATTTTTAGGGAGATCGGCGCAGGCCTTCAAAATTAGCCAAATCTTGGATTCTATTTTAATTTATCGATATCGGGGTCAGCATGATTTTGGGGTGGTTTTTTTTGGGGTTTTTTTTGGTAATTAATGGATACGGACAGATTTATTAATTAGACATCTTATTGCGCCGACTCTTTGCTAGGTGGTCCCCGAGAGTTCCCCTTGTCATTAAACCACACTGAGTGCTCCGATAGAACATAAATCGTATTTCCAGGAAAGCAATTTTATGCAAGTTGACATAAAGTTCATGTCATATTTCTTAAATAATGACTGTAACTAAGTAATGTCAGTACTAATGAATTGTTAAATTAGAACAGTAGACCAATGAACGGGAGAATAATTAATTTTGGTACTGTACTTATTCTACTTACGGTGAAGAAGAAAATATCAGTATATTAATTACGAAAATTGCGCTTGCCGAACTCAAGTAGCTTTGATTGTCACGTGCTGAAATCACATGACTGTGACGTCATACTTCAAGGTACCCGACGTCTGCATGCTGAATGTTGATGATAGCAGGAGAAAACAATAACACGAGACAAGTTCAGAGAGATGCTCTATAATTATAGATTATAGTTACGGTATGACAATAATAGGCGTATTGCACAAATAATATAGACTTGGGTCTGGTATTATAATTGCTGTTGACTGTAATAAATTGTAATGTCAAGAAGAAAAAAATTTTCAGTTCAGATCTGTTATGTTCAGTTCAGTTCAGTCAATCCCTTCAACTCCAAAGTTCTTATCGAGAAACACATTTCACTAGGTTCCACTTCTTATAAGTTCTTGACAGCTACGTCTAGTGGTAGTCTTTTAATAGTAATGTTAGCAATTTTTTATCAGGTTCATTTAAACTTACTTACTGTGTATAATTAGGCCTAGATTAACAGCCTAAACAGGACAGGAGTTTCATTTTGGGAAGGCCTACACAGACGTGTGACTACTGACAGCTCCCGAAATAATAATGTAAAATAAATTAGAATTGGTGATCGAGGACTGAGTGGTTCAGGCCTGGACATTCTTTGGGTTGTTTAAATTGTAACCATAGCCCCATACCTCCTTTCCCGGAAAGGGCAATCATGGACAAACTACTACTAGGCCCATGTCGAGTAATTAAATTATAAATAGTACCGGTACGGCGGTAGCCTAGAAGTTAATTTTATATACTAATAATATAGATCTACTACCTATAGGATAGGCGCGATTACTGCCATACTGTTTTGACTAGGCCTAGAGCTAGTTGTACTGTCATTTGGACTACCTGTAATCCGGTAACCTTGTAACTGCCTTCACACACATGCATGGTTAATGGTGATCTTATTATAATGTCTTCGTAAATAGACCTACCCTTTTGAAAGATTTTTTTTTTATTTGCTTTCCATTTCATCATCAGAATTATTGATATGAGGACCATGAAATAGGAATCCTACTACAATAAAAGTGTTGTCCAATCCAAGAAGTCGCAGATCAATTTAAAAGTATCCAGGAAGGGTGTCTTGGTGAGAATCATGACAACTAAAAGACATTTTACAAGACGATGTAAACAGGAGGGTATGTATAGTATAATTTGAATATTTGTTCATCATGGTTGCTAGTGAATGTGGAATAGATGATTACATGATCTATAACAGTGCATTTTTGGGGACAGTAAACTGGGCTAATCCCACTACTGAAAGTATGTGCCCCCACAGCATTGTTAAAATATAAAGAAGCATTGGGACAATACAGATGGTTTCCTCTAAAAACCAAGGGTTCTTGGTACTATTGGAAAAATTAAGAAATGAAAACCATCGTGTTTAAGTAACCATGGACATGGCACTTATAACACGAAGCACAGGGCGTCACATCCCAAAATTTCACTAGGATTTGTCGCAATTCAAAATTGTTCTCTGGCCACTCGCTACAACACAGGTAAATTGTGAGAGTGGAGATTCTGGTATTTGGCCAAAAATTAGTTATATATAATACAATATATTTTCCATAAATATATTTTTTTGTCATACATACCACGATTTCAGAATCTTCTTGATATAAAATAGGCTGAAACAGGGTGTATCTTTAATAATAATTTCAGTGCTAGAGAATCCTGACCTTATAAACGATGAAGAAACTAAGAAACAATTGGATGAAGTAGTGAAGAAACCCTGTCGATCTGTTTCTGAATGTAGTACATGTATTAGATTTTATGCTGAACATGCTACAATTAAAGAGTACCAGAAAAAAAAGAAAACCAGAAAGCTTTCAAAGTATGATGAAATGAGACAAGAGGTGGGAAAATACTTGTATATAATAATACGTAGGAAATTGAGTTTCTATTTAATTTGTTTGCTGTGTGACCTTATTCTGCTCACAGAACTATCTACTTCAAAAATAGATCTCTGCCCTGGGTGACTGTCATCGCCAAAAATTAAATACTACATTGTAATGCGGCTCTATTCAGTTTCACATCTGCCATACACATACATAAAAGCGGAATAAATATTTCTCAAAATTCTCGAAGTATACTTAGTGATAAAATGTCTGTCAATTAGCTTAGTGTCTGTTCTCAAGCGGGGCTAATTGTAAAATTGTTTAGTATCTTTGGACCCATATATCAATATTCCCGGGGCTTAATGTGCCCAAAGAGATGTACCGGATGCATCCCCTCGGCTTCGGCCTGCTTATCATTTTATCATCTGTTTTATAGATTGAATCGACAGCCTGGATACAATGTGACAGTTTAGCTTGTAGAAAATGGCGTCGTGTACCAGCTGAAGAAGTAGATATACTGGCAGAGAAAGAATGGTTCTGTAAAATGAATAAAGATTCAAACTATAACACATGTCTTGTGGAGGAGGAAGACACAGATAAATATGATAAAATGGCGCTAACTGTTGGTCTACAATATATTAAATCAGAATTTTGGGAAGGTTGTTTGGTGTGGGCCAAGATGCCGGGGTATTGTAGGTAAGATCCATAGTTTCCAGGGGTCGGTTGTTCAAAGCTCCGTCTGTTACTGGAATCCCCGTTAACTTGAACATGTCGTTAACTTGCCGTTATATTTAACGGGGGTGCTGGGCTCCGTTATCTGTTTACCGATGGTGTTAGTCGACTGTCAGTCGAAGTCTCTTTAGCAAAAAGTCATAGATTACTAGAGTTTAACAGATCGTTAAAATAACTTAGTTTTGAGCAACCGGCCCCTGGACTGTGTGGGCCTATACCATGGAGGAAAGTCAGTGATTTACAATTCCTTTCATGTAAATGTAACATCCTGAACTGCTTGCCATGAGACATTGGTAATTTATTGCTGGACTTTCTCAGGGGAAATTTTTCACAAGCCACTCGTCAATTGTACAGAATGAAATTTAACTTTTGGTTGCATTTATAAATAGTGAATATATTATATTTTGTATTTTAGTTGGCCGGCAGTTGTAACAAGAAGTTTAGAAACGGATGATTTTTGTCATCGTAATGAAAAAGATGAACCGATCATGTATCATGTTGAATATCTGGGTAAAACACACTCTCGTGGCTGGATCAAGAGAGCAGCATTAAAAATGTTTTCTGAAGGAAGGTTTGAGGAAGATCCAACTCAGGTTAATAAACTGATTTCTCGTTTACAAAGACTTAAATCCTTCATGTGTTTGATTTCTTATTATTCTGTTTTAGTTATAATTTGTTTTAGTCATGATTGATTAAAACAGATATGTCAGCTTCGGATGTCAGTTCAGTCGGTCACAACTTTTAACATAACAATGCTGTAAATTTCGTGCAGATATTAGGAAATATCCAGTCATTCACGACTGTTAAATAGAACTCAAATGACTGATTGATTCACGGTATCACCCGTGGGCTGGACCATTGGCGAACTACAAATAAAAGTTGTTGCTATACCTTTTCATAAATTAATAAATACCACTTCCACCTGTTTATCTGAGTTTCTGTTTGGAGCCAGCGGTTGTTCGCTTCACCCTCAACCCTTGTCCTTCCAGTCTTTTGACAAGGACCTGGGTTCAGCAAATGTTCCGGGCCCGGGTCCAGCAAGTGTTCTATTTGTACTAGTGGAAAAGGTAGTGCAGTCAGCACAGCACATATATCCCTCAACATGGAGGATCCTACAAAAATAAAACTACTTCGTGGTTATTTCACTATTCATGATGTCTTAATAAATTTAGTTGCCCGGGTGATAATGATCTCCTTTCAGTAAACAGGTATGTCTATTCGTGTATGTGATACACAGGGGACTTCAAAAAATCAAACGAAAATTCGGGTGTTATAAATTTCAGACGCAAACAACAAAGAATAAGAAGGGAAAGAAAAAGGCGTGTGTTGGTAAAAATTTAAAAACAACATTTAAAAAAGGAGAGACGGTAGAAGCAGCTTTAGATGAAGCCATAAAAATGATACCACTTTCTTACACTCAGAGATTAGACAAATGTATATTTAAATATACGTATATTGAGGAATGCAGCACCGAAGGTTTGTGCATGGATTTTTAATTTAAAAGATCATTTCGCGGTTTTAATTCGATTTAAAAGTAAACAGCAGTGTAGCTGTCCGGGGGGACTGTTCCTCATAGCACACTTTTAGGCAAAAGCCCGTCTTCATTATCCCAATCAATGTAGAAAAGTAGAACGTTAAACGCCATTTCGTTTCATTGCATTGTACATGAATTTAGAAATGGACGCATAACCATTCAACTAAAGTAAGTTTATTGCATAAAAAACGCTAACGGGGAGCAGCATACAATTACAAAATGAAAGAAAAATCACTTTAGAACATACATAAACTAGATAAATGCTGCCTTGTTCATTACTGTATAGCATTCTCGATAACCGTGTCAGATAGTTGGAACAGCAGTTGATTGGTGTTAAATACTGACCAGTATACGTTGTTCCATCTTTGTCAATTTGTTGTAATTAACTCGATTGGCAGCTGTCCCATTAAGGTCTATTACCTGTTATAGACAACTCAATCGAGTGGGCAAAGTAAAAAGACCCATTATGAAAAAGCGCTTTTCCCATGCAAACTTAAATTGCAAGGCCCAGGCGGAATAAACCCATTTTTTTTTTTAAAAAAAAAGGATAAGATTTATTATTCAAAAGGCCATCAAATTCTTCTCTATAGAAATTTTAAATAGACGACCCAGATTGGTCGACAGTGGCATCAAATTTATTTATAAATTAATTTGTTTCTTGAAGACCCTGCAAAGAACAAAACGATAGCCCCGTTTACAGAAAGCAAGAGCAACACCAAGGCAACCGAGATCAAAGGGACAGTTGAATCAACAGAGGTGAAACCACAACTAAAGAACACTGAATTAAATAATACACATAGTGAACCCAAAACTTGTGTGTCTTACAATACTACAGAAAATAAAACTGCAAATGACCCCAGTAAACAAAAAGCCATTGACTCACAGAGCAAGAAAAATACAGAGTTGAAATCTGACGAGAAAGATGTAAATATTGAACCGCCCGTGTCCGTTGTTCAATTTGATTTTGATAATTCACTTTTAAATAAAACGAAAGAAGAGAGATATTGTCTTGATGTTGAGGTACAGTTATTTATATTTTAAAATAATTTCAAAATAACAGACCATTTAACTCTTTTCAGAAGTAGCTGAGAGTTGAAAATTTCATCTTTTAAAATTGAGTAATTTTACTCTGGTCTTCTCATTTTCAGAAGTACATGTAGCACTGAAATTTGTATGTTGGATCATTTTAGAAAGTTTCATTTTAATGGTACCTTATAATGTAAAACAACAAAACCATTGTAAATTTCAGATGTATACGAAAAATGAGAGGGCATTTGAACACGATGTATTGAGATTTCTGATGAGGAACGATATTAAGTATAAAGGTTTACCTAAAATGCAGAATGCACCAGAATCTATGTTCCAGATATATTTAGCTGTACATGAAAGAGGTGGATATACAGAAGTAAAGTATCTAGTTTCTAGATTCAGTTTATTATTAATACAAACATGTTTTGTTAGACCACACCAATTTCATTTTCATTTCTTGAGATAAATGAATATCAACTTGAATCACATGAAAGGTGTTTTGTTTAAAATTTCAGTTGTACGTGACAAGGAATAGTGTCGCCTGTCCAACCTCATGGATTTTCTCTGGGTCTTCTAGTTTCCCCCCACTGCTAAAGACCCCTAGGTCGACTGTCAAACCTCGTGGGTTTTCAATGTCTTTTTGCCAAAGAAAAAAGAAGGAAAATTTATTACAGAACAGAAAATATCAAAATTGGTGTTACCTGAGTCGGATGCAAACAAATTTTGTAATAAAAAATCTGAGCACAATTATTTTTTATGGAACCAGGGTGGCTCGGGGATTAGATCCGGGTGTTTGCTTACAATGTACCTCCTGGTTTTCCAACCTAGTTCCCCTTATCAGTGGTTCAGGGTGGGGGCCTGGAAAGCATTGGTGTCTAGTTGTTTGGATGGAACGAAAAACAAACTTTACAGTTGGAATTTGAAGAAGAGTACGCATAAAGCCCGCTTTTTGGACGAAATTCCATCAGTGGCACACTGCATGGCGTTTGCGCATATTTAATAGCCCGGTTGGTACAGAAAATTCAACCCCATTTGATTTCAATTCTATTTATTTGCAATCTGATTATAATACTGATCTATGTTTGTTACAATGATGGACCCAATCTGATTATAATACAGATCTATGTTTCGTTTCGGTTTTTGTTTATACTTTCGATGGACTATACTATAAAGATCTGACCAGTTGTAGTGGGAGGAGGCGTCAGGGGTCGTACGAGCGGCTTTTGACCTTTGACGTCAGAGATTGACGTTTCTAGTGGTTTACCCACAGCTCCGTGCATCGCATGCCAAGAAGTCGTCGTAACAGATGGTTTCGTTGGTTGATCCCTCGCACCATCCAGAACGCAGATTATATAACAAACTCTTCCAGATCTAGTGTAGTAAAGACAAATAAAACGAAATTTTGAACTATAAAAAACGGAACGAAATAGGGTCTGTGTTTTAATCAGAATGATTTATTTGTCGATATTATAGGTGTGTAAAAAGCGACAGTGGATGACAGTTTGTAGAGAGGTAGTTAACACGCATATCATAGGAAGTTCTTCAAACTGTATCAAAAATTTCTATGAAAGGTATGTTTCAAAAATTTCTATGAAAGGTATGTTTCAAAATATTTGTCAGATAAATGAAAATTATCTTCTGCTAAATTCGTTATTTACACACATCAGACGGTTTAAAGAACGTGTAATTTTTCTTTATTATCAGTGAGTTTCCCAATGCAGATATTGGCCAAACAATAACATGCAAAATATGCTTGCCAACATGCAAGAACCTTTCGAAAGTAGGGAATTATTTCATTTATAAATTGAGTACCTGCTGGGTTTGAATACAATTTATATAAAGATCGCCAAGTGTAAGACTAAATCCTATAGTGACTTGTCACCTTAAGGTACCAAATGAAACTTAATAGGAGAATATTTAGTAACCGGTTAGGTGTCTGTAGTGAATTTAATTCCTGTCGTGGTAACACTGTTGTGTCATCATGGCCGCCGAGGGGATTTTTAGAAAACACGAGCCTTCTACACCTGTGGCTGTGCAAGGACTATGCAAAAATGGGTTTTTTAAATGTATCCCTGCATAACCAGAGTGGGGCATCGGGGCTTCAGAGCGATGTACCTGTGTGTCATGTTATATAAGATGATGTGTTGTATTTGTAGATATTTATATCCGTATGAATTGTATATAAAAGGAGAAGATTTTGCCTCGTATATCAAGGATTATAGTAATAAGAAAACCGTGAGGAAGAAAGGAAGTATACCACCCCCACCTACTGTTGATCAGTCGAGTACAGATAGTAACAAACAGTTGTTAATTACAGCCAGTCCTATACAAGGATTGCCAGTTTCAGATACGGCGGGAAATTTTGAATGTATGTTGAAAAAGTCCTGGATTAAACCACTTTCCCACACAGTCATGTTAAGTTTGTTGCTCGGGGATTATTTACAAGGATATTTTCCTAAACCCCTCCCCGACCATATCACTGAGATCCAGACCTACTGTTCTAGTACCGTTCCAGGGGTTCACCCAGAAATGTCTATTATAATGTGGGCAACTATTCGTTACCTATACCCAAGTCCAAAGCATTCCTTTTAGGGGCAAACGAAGGTGGTTCAACTAGTGGATGACCCGGGGCTTCACGAATTGAAAGTAGTATAACCCCGCAACTAGATGCGGTAGGCCAACGCCACCTAGCCTATATGTTACTCTCCGGTCCAAGCTACCCTTATACACCAAATTTCAGCCTCGGGACGGCCCTAGTGTAGCCGCCAACCCTGAACTGATCAGACAAAAGACAATCACAAATATTAGTAAAATTGTCACTGAATAGTTTTATTGTTCAAGTTAAATCATTTGGCACAAACGTTCCATATAAATATTCAAAAGAACATCCTACTGTTTCCTCCAGAAACTTTATATTTTAGCAAGTGATCTTATTATTTTTAAGTATTATCCGAGTGTTCTGCTGATATTCAAGAAATGTTGGATAACTTGGAGAAAGAGGAAAGTTTATGTGGTCTAGAGGAGGGTAAGTTTGATCTAGTAAATCATCGCACTCCGGTTATATCAAGTGGCCGAGAAAAAAAAATAAGTACCCTATTTGAAGTGGAATAATTCAAAAGGTATTGTATTTGTGCCAATCTGATTAAAACACAGATCCTATTTCATTTCGTTTTTTATGATTCAAAATTGTGTTTTACTTGTCTTTACTACACTAGGATCTGGGGAAGAGTTGTTATATAGCCCGTATTTTGGTTGATGTGAGGGATTAACCAATGAAACGGTCTGTTACAGCGAGTTCTTGGCGCACGGTGCGCGGAACTGTGGGTATCCCACTAGAAACATTAACGCTGATTGGTTATTCAGAATGTAAGACATCGGAGGGTAAAAAGTCCCCTGTATAACCCCTGACGCGACCTTCCACTACAACCGGTCAGATCTTCATGTAGTCGAGGCTATCAAAAGTATAAAAAAACGAAGTATAGATCTGTACGTTAATCAGATTGCAATTTGTACCTATATCATTTAACATTTCACATGTGGTACAATATAGATGTTTGATAACTTCACTCCAATCTAGTAATCCATCACACTCCTGTGATTTAGACATGATTTAAAATCATTAATTGGCACTCAAGAATACGTTTTCTATAAAGAGAAAAGGACTTAAAATGTCGTTTTCCCTAACATTTACCATGTTGAGCTAAAAATGGACACCGGAAATATGTCACGCCTAAAAACTCCTATAGGCAAAATGAGAACTAAAATTGATATATTTCTCATCCCAGTTTATTTGTAAAAATGTTCTGTTCCCGCTACAGGTCAGAAATAGCACTTGCCTATTTGACAAAATATAGTTTGGGGTTGTTTTTTATTCGATTGAAACAGAGGTCCCGTGTACACATTGGCGTGCACGTAAAAGATCCCTTGGCAGTTGGAATTCGATATAAGAGTAGGCTGTAGCGCCGCTGTCCGCTCAAAATTTCCCTCAAAGAATACTGTACATGTGTATGCCCGTCTTCATTAACCCAGTCGGAGCAAAACAGTAGGACGTTAAACCCCATTTCATTTCATTTTATTGGATTGCGTGAAAAACTTAGGTGCAGCCATGTGTGTCGTCATACATGTAAAAACGTGCAAACATTTGTCTTATAAAAAGCATCCTTCAATATTCCATGAGTACTTTATTTTTCAGATGTGACGGCAGCTAAGAATAAACTTGGTATAGATATAACATTTTTTGATGAAAGTCCACCAGTTAAAGACGATGTTAAAACACCATCAGAATTTGAGGAGGCAGATTTACCAAGTAAGTTAGGTTAGCATTTTTTGTAAAAAATCCAACAATCATAGGAGAAAGTGAGATGGGTTTTTTTATCATTTCTTCAATAAGTTACTAGCTATTTATAACAGTTCCCCGGTCGTAGTGACAAGAAGTGAGATTGTCCGGTTTCCTCCCACTGCTAAAGACCCCTACATGCGAGCGAATTATTGAAATAAATTGAACAATATGTTAATCCCGAAATGACCTAGTTTGTTTCAAGTCGGTTTTAAACCCTCTCCAACTGTCTCTATTTCAGTTGAATCTGCCCAAGAAGTACCTGAATATGAAGTGAGTGATCCTATGAGCGACATGGAAAGTCAGGAGGAATTATTCCATGAGATGCAAGCCCTACAAGATGGTATGGAGATGATAGATAACGTCCTTGAACAATTATGATAATTATAAATTAATGTAGAAATATTTATTTTCTTATTTAATCCATGAAATGGAAGAACTTCAAGATTATAATACTTAATTGCAGTAATATTCTTATTGGCTATATTATACTTGAAATAAGTCGTACTTTTCATAAGGACAGTTTCATGGATGGACAAGGTACACTTTTATGGATACACAATTACTGTGTTTATTACTATATTGTTTTGGTGAGGATACTCTCAAAAAAAATGAAAAAGATGAGTTTCCTCGCTTAAATGTTGCATAGTAATAAATAAGTAATTGTGTATCCATAAAATTATCATATTGTGTTTACATGTTCAATTGCTGAATATGCCTATCAAAGAAGTTTCATTTATGCCCATGAAAGTCCTGATTTCCAAATGAACTTGTTTACAAAAATGTATCTCTTATTTCTTTGAAAAAGGTTATCAATTTTGTGATTTGTAAAATAAGGGGAAGGGTGAAGGGAATGTTTATATTTTTTGAAAGTAGCCAATTTGAAATAAGCTAATGTCCAAACCTAAACTATTTTTCATAGACAATTAAAAAACTTATTACTGCTTTAAAGTGTGGATCACTTTCACAATGAATTTATAAAAAATATATTGTACATATGTATAGTTAAGATTAGTGCTGGATTTAAATGAAGAGAGGCCTTGGGCTATCTCCCGTCCCCTTCCGACTAGAGGAAGAAGAAAATGTGCTTTAAACATAGCCGAGAATGAGAATGATGAAAGTGCGTGTAAGTAAATCCAAATATTTACACACCTTGGTCTTAAATATTAAGTATGTGGCAAACCTCGTGGGTTTTCTCCGGGTCCTCCGGTTTTCCCCACTGCTAAAGACCCCTACGCGCAAGCGAATTATGTAAATAAAATTAAACCATGTTAGTCCCGAAATGACCTAGTTTGTGTCGAGTGGACGTTAAACCCCATCTCTCCCTCTCTCATAAATATTAAGGCCCTACACTTCAGCCTGCCAAGCATATAGGTAAATCCTAGATCTCGAGGCCCTAGGCTTGGGCCTGCCAAGCATATAGGTAAATCCTAGATCATGTGGCCTGAAGCCTGCCAAGCCTATAGGTATATCCTGGATCTCAAGGCCCTAGGCCTGAAGCCTGCCAAGCATATAGGTATATCCTGGATCTCGAGGCCCTAGGCCTGAAGCCTGCCAAGCATATAGGTAAATCCTGGATCTCGAGGCCCTAGGCCTGAAGACTGCCAAGCATATAGGTAAATCCAGTACTGGTTAAGATTTATAAAGTCTATAGATCTACATTATCTGTACATATAAGATATTATTTATTTATTATTTTTTTTTAATGAAATATGTTGGGGGATTACAGACATTAAATTTCCAAATGTTAATGAATTATTTTATTTGTTAAGTTTGAAATAAAACATTTTAATTTGGAGTGTTGATTAATTATTTATCATGCAGTTTTAAGATCATAGGACAAGAATTCTGATTTGTTGTCAATCTCACTAATTCTGATTTCTTGTCAGGAACAGTGTCTAGTTGTTCGGATAAGACAGAAAAACCAGGTCTTGTATACACTGGGTTGCACGAAAAAAAACCCACAAAAAACGCTTGACTGACAAGAGTTGACAGTAGCACCGCTGACTGGGCAAAATTTCCCTCATAGCACACTGCATGATGTATGCCTATCCTCATTATTCCAGTTGGAGCAGAACATTGGTGCATTAAAGGAGGCAGGCTTTTTAACTAAATATCATCCACAGTCTTCGACATTGCAAACACAACTTATTGATCAACTTAAATCCACAGTGATGTTAACTTAATTGAAAAAATGGGCTCTGATATCCAATATTTAAGCCACGGTGAACATTTTAAAATTGGCACACAAATCGTGTGCCAGAATGCTTTTGAGGGGAGAATAGTACCAATGTAGACTGGAATAACCAGATGCCAAAGAATGCTACTCAATTGGATTTCTTGAAACTGAAACGATTGAATGTAGATCAGTTTATATACATTCATATTACATTATTATATGGTTGCGACCCATTTGTGTCCATTTTTAGGTGCTAAAGATTAAGTTCATTTAAACCCCATATCTTTTCATTATCCTTCTGCAAAGATAGGTTGTCATGCAACAAAAATAATACAACTGCCAAGTTGTCAGACATCCACAAGGGTTGTGGCAATGTCGCATATTTTCTTGGTAATATAAACATTTACAAGACATTAAGTAATTATCAGAAATCATTAAAATTTGTTTGGCTTCTAGTTCTTCTCAATGAAAACCATTATTATACAAAACCAGTCCTATCTTGATGTGCATGATGGACTGGGGCGATAATACACAACCACATTTCGGTGTGGGAATATAAAAATAACATTCTGACCAATTTTCAGGAATATAACACAAGTATTGAATTTGACTTGGATTTCAGAAGCCTCAGCTAGTAGACAAATGTGACAAAGTGCTACAAACCCCTCCATAAGCAAAGCAAAGACAGTTGTTAGACATAGTTTTATTTTTTTTTATTCAATTAAATACTTTCTATGTATATCACAATCTAAATAATTCAACAAATAAAAGACAAAGAATCATCTTGTATAATATGTGGTTTGAAATTACACAAATTTGAAGGCACACAATAAAGTTCTCAGTAACTTTTACATTCCACAAAACGAACATACATCTGTCCACAAAACACATTTAAATTATATGAAAATCATTTTTATAATTCATTGGCATACAATTCATTGAATAATTATAATTTGACTTACACATAAATTCCTAAACAACTATTACTACATGTACTATGGACCAGAAACCGAGCACGATGACATCATCACCCTCATCTTGGAATTGTGACGTAACATCAAAATTCAAAGTCTATTACTCGATGCACAAATGTAGAAGGAACAATCAACCCAAGTTTCATGTTGATCGTACTTTAATTGGCAAAGCCTTAGGCAACACTGATGGACGTCACCCCCAAGAACAAAACAGAATGAGTTGCTCTTGAAGATAAGATCAGTTCCTGGTCTTAAAAATTTAAAGTAGGCCATTTTTATTTATTGTATTAAATAAATAATGGAGAAAAGATTAAGTTTTTAATAGTCTACCTACCTACCTATTCTTTATTTTGAATTTCATCAAAACAAATCATATTGCACCCAATATTTGCTAAATCTATGGAGATTCTGATCTAACAAAGACAATAACTTAGATACATATAAATTAAAATTTATATAATATGAATAATCTTTTAACTTAATACCGGTATGCAAATAAATGTAAAGATATTAACATCATTCTACTATAAAACACAACTATGGCCAAACCAGTTTAATTTTCAGTTCTTTAGGGTCTTGATAAAAACCCACTTGAACCGCTAGAAACAAGCTAAGTATAGTGTGCATTTTTTACATAATGTCTGGACCATATGTCAACTAACTCTATGCTAACAAATTAATTAATTTTCATGCAATATTTCAATAAATATAATGTTTGATGAACTTTACAGATGCATTATGAAAGAACTAAATCTGCCTATTGCAGGTATTTCTTCTGACTTAAAATGCTATATAAATTATTTACACAAGCCAATAATTTATAATCAACCCTCTAGACGATCATATGACCAAGATATTAAATGGATTAGAACATCCATGTCATCCAGTAATTTAACATTAAAATGGATAATCAAGACTTTGTTTATCATAGCAAGGGTGCTTGACAATCAAGACTTTAAAAGCCAAATCTTGTCAAAACTTCAAAATTTATCACTGTGCGCAGAATAAAGTAAACTGACTTAAATTTTCAATATGTTAATTTTTTAATATATATTTTTAAGCTGTTATTTTATAGCAAGAAAGAACATTTCTTTATCTAAATCTTACATGTCCATTACAAGGTCTATTTAAGTAGGTTGCCAACACCGTCTTCATTACCCCAGTCGGAGCAAAACAGTAGGACATTAAACCCCATTTCATTTCAGGTTGCCAACAAAAATATACGTGTTGGAACCTTGCAAAGGGAAATACATATATATATAGCATTATAATTATAAAACGATGTGTGCGTAAACAAGACTTTAAAAAAATCTCAACTATCAACAATGTGAAATAATATAGAAGGAAAATGGCACCAAGTCAGAGATCAAAATTTGGATGGATTTTGTCTTTATATAATGATAAAATGAATGAATCCACTTTTCACTTCACTAAGTCTGTAAACTTTGAATGCGATACACCTTAGATTGGAGCGTATGTTTAGACCGAGTAGAAAAACATGCATCCAACAGACGAAGTGCATTATAAATATGAAAAGATGGTAAAAATTCATACTACTAAGGATGATAAAATGAATGAATCAACTTTTCACTTAACTAAATATGTATGTAAAACTTTGAATATAAATTAATCATTTATGTATGCATCAAATTAATAGTGTATTATAAATATGAAAAGGTGGTATATTTTTGCAGTATCGAAATGTACAGACAAATTCATATTATTAAGATTTGTACAGAAAATATTAAACGTACGAAAGCAATAAAAGATCTGACATTTAAATTTATTCTTTATCAACATTTTAACAAGCGAACAATGAATTATGGCAAGCTTCAATTGCAAGGACTGGTTTTATTGTATGGAGGACATGCTATTCTTTAGGGTTGTCAAAAAAAATATTGCTATATCAATATATTGCAATACGATCTTCTGCGATACACTGTATCGATAGATTTTTGCGTATCGATATTTTTCTACTTTTATTTTATATTCAAATGTTAGCTGGACTGTTTATAAAGACTTCATAATCAGTCATATTATTTAGACTTTGCAGTAAAAATATAATTAGCCAAGACCCAAGTTGTAAAAACGATAAAACGATAAAACTAGTCAAAATAAAACTGTGCTTTGTGATAAACCCTGACTTTATCGACATACTGCAATACTGCAATATACTGCAATACTTTCTGTCAAGTATCGCAATATATTGCAATACAATTTTTGGCTGCAATACACAGCCCTTAGTCTCGTAAGATTTAAACCAAATCATTAAATTGAAAGCCAGGCAAAATGGGGTAATTAATGATAACTGTTAATATAAATGAAATGAAAGGAGATAATTTTTGATTATTTTAGTATAAAGGCTTTTTAAATTTACTAGTAATAGTATATAAATAATAGTATAAGAATACAAAATATACTACAAACATGAATAGATGATCTAACTGAAACATTGAAAATATATTTCACTGGGTTCCTGCAGAACGTAACATAATATAATATAAATGGAAAGGCTGGAAACTATTGATCGACATAAAACAAATATAACATGGCTTAGTGCATAAATATAAATAAACTGAATTATTTAAAACATAAAATCATTTAATATTGAACAAAGATTTGTGGGGAGACAACTAGAATGATTTACATGTTGATATCTAATACTAACTTCAAGATTAATATTTTCTCCGGATTTCCACACTTGTGTCCAAATGATTAACCCGCGAAACTGGGTGGGTGGGTTTTTGAACGACAACGCAGATAGAAAGTGATCAATCTGATTAAAATACAGATCTATATTTCATTTCGTTTTTATATACTTTTAATGGCCTACACTACACGAATATCTGGCCGGCTGTACTTGAAGGTCATGTCAGGGGTCGTACGAGTAGCTTTTGACTCCATGACGTCAGACATCGATTAATCTATCAGTATTGACGTTTCTAGTGGGTTACCCACAGTTCCATGCATCGCATGACAATAACTCGATGTAGCTGACTGTTTCATTGGCTAATCCCTCACTTAAACTAGTACTATAACAATTCTTCGAGATCCTAGTGTAGTAAAGATAAGTAAAACGAAATTTTGATCTATAAACAATGAAACGAAATAGGATCTGTGTTTATCAGATTGGAAAATGATAAATTCAATGTCGGTTATTTTTACATAGAAACATGAATCAGGAACGGGAATCAGGAACGGAAATATGTCAACATTTTCTTACTTCGTCATCGCGTATGGGTGCTTCAAGCTCTATCTGGGGGTTATTCAACAGTACCTTAACCATAAAGCTTTTTATTCCTATTGTAAAATATTATCTAGATTATATTATCTAGGATGTTGACAGCAAAAATAATTGTTTTGTTTTGATTCTTATTGGTTATTTTTACAAAAGCAGCTAACTGTTTTGTTTTTTTACCGGATTATCAAAATTACTGTTAAATGTGCTAACTAGGCACATTCTCATTAACGTATGACTGTTATTTTAGCCGACAAGTTGGTTGACTTTTTAATTAACAAGTAATAATTAACCTGTTGTAATTTAGTCGAAAGTAGATTGATTATTTATGATACCATAGTGGTCAGTTCATTGTTTGACCAATTGGCTAGATTAAACATCAATCAGCTAAAGACGATAAAGAACACTGGTCTTGACGAAATAGTAAATTATACGAACCCGGACTAGTGGACTTATTCCATATATAAATAACACTCAATAAATTAAACTCAATAAAAAAGGCAGTATTTTACATCTTATAAATCTATAATAGATTGTTAATCAAATAACAGTAATAAACATTGCCAGTCATTGTAAATCATATTCAGGCCAAACCAATCTGATTTTCACTTCTCCAGGATCTTGATAGATAAATAGTCACTTGAATCATGTGAAAGATGTTCAGTTTAAAATTTCAGAACATAAAAAATTGGAACTAAAAACCTTTGAACAGTGAAACCAAGTATTTCTGGTTTTTACATTAGTCTTTTACCCAAAGAGACAAGAAAAATTTTAACATGTGTTCCTGAAAAATAGAAAATCAAATTGGTATTTTCTTACTTTGGGTTTTTACAAGCTGAAAGCAAGAATAAATAAATAAAATGATCACAAGTAACAAGGTGGGGTGTTCATTTGGACAAAGTATAAAATAATTGTTATCTTTTTACCGGTGGGATGTGAGGGGTTGGGTGGTCTAGTGAAATCACAAGGTCTGTCATTGAGTCAAGTGGCATGGTTTCAATTCCGCACTTGTACGTGACAAGGGGTAGGGTCACCTGTCAAACTGCTTGGGTTTTCTTCGGATCCTCCGGTTTCCTCCCACTGCTGAAGAACCCTACGCGCAAGCGAATTATTGGAATAAAATTCAGCCATATGTTAGTCCCGAAATGACATAGTTTGTGTCTTTGAAAACCCTCTATCTCTCTCTCTTCTCTCTTCAATCTCTCTGGTGAGATTTGCCTCTTCCACAAAAGGTTTGTTAATTATAACAAAGTTACACAGATCACCAGAATCGTAAGACAACATTGGGCAGACTTTTCGATTTCATTGCAATATTTGTTTTATCTGCATTTTGTTGTACAGTTCTCCTCTCTTCTTTCCTCCACTGAAGGGCTGGGGGCCATATTCACAAATACTTTTTCTCTCGAATGCAGCCCATCCACGCTTCAAGAGCTAAAATTTGAACTAGGATTTGAACTCTCAACCAATGAAATGGCTGCATTCTTAAAATATTTAGTATGAATTTTTGCGAATCTGCACCCAGGAAAATATGTCAAGTCCGTCTGTCTTGTAGACACCATCGCTTTGTAGAATATCGTCTAACAAGTGATAATGAAATGACAAAAGTCATGGAACACAGGTTGGCAATAACACAACCAATATTACTCTCTCTTCTCCAAGATTGTAGGAAAATGTAGGATTTCTAGTTCTTTCCCAAAATCACAGACAATGCTCATACTGCCAACAGATTTGATTCTTCTCACAAATGCTGCCTGATCTGAGTCCTTTAATTGAACTTCACGCACTATTTCTCCCTTCACAATATCACAGAGATACAATTTGCCCTGCAATAAATAAAACATTGGCATTAATCATCCATTGAAAATAAAAACTAGATCGGAAAAGGGGACTGTTATTTTTACATTTCCCACTTTGATGTTTTTCTCTAGAATCTAAGATTGTTTCAGTTTTGATGTTAATTGGATTTCCAATAATAAATTTTGAATATATCATATAACATTAATTACATTTGTATTCCTATTGAGTGATAATACTTCTTTATAGAAATAACATCAAATTGATATCACCAATTAGTTCCTTATAGATAGTCATATATTAATACTAGCTTACATCCCTGAACAGGCTGTTTCAAACTGCCTAATGCTTTACATATTATTTGACCATTTACTAGTTACTGTGCGGGGGTCGTGCACATGACGGTTTAGTTTGGGGCAGTCTAAGGAGCTCTAGTTAGGGGCAGTCTTAGGAGCGCTAGTTAGAGAGGTTTGGGGCAGTCTAAGGAGCCCTAGTTAGGGTGGTTAGGGTGGTTTAAGGCAGCCTAAGGTGTTTAAGGCAGTATAAAGGTTAAAGAGTTAACATACAATATAAGAAAAGTATTTAATATACTCACTTGGCTACCGGTAACCACCAAACTGTTACTTAATAAACAAATACTACTTCCACAACAATTATACTGAAATTATACAAGAGGTCATTTCAGTACCAACAACATATGGTACAATTTTATTTGAATAATTAGCTTGGATGTAGGGTTTATTAGCAGTGAAGGAAACCGGAGAACTCTGAGAAAACCCATGAGGTTGGACAAGTGACCTTACTCCTTGTCACCTATAATAAGCGAAGCGGGGAATCAAAACTTGACATAAATGAAATGAAATGGAGTTTAACACCCTACTGTTCTGCTCCGACTGGACTAATGATCTTTTACATGTATGCCAAAGTGTACATGGGACCTCGGTTTTTCGTCCCACCAAAACGACTAGACTAGACACCAGAAAATACCAATGAAATTCTAGGCCAACATCAGGAGCGAAACCCGCGACCCAAAAAAAACTTGACATCATAACAGTAACAGACCTTAAACAAAGAGTGTATGTATCAAACCATTCGACCACCTAACCCCCAGTAGAATAATAATAAAGAGAGTTCTTACTATTGACATGGAATGAATTAACTGTCCTTTATGTCTATCCCAGACACATAGCTTATCATCACCACCAACACTGATAACAAATTGTAAAGTACTAGTTACAGTTGATACAGCACCATCATGACCATGGAACATATAAACACAAGATCCTGTTAATAAATCCCACAATCTAACACGACCATCAGTAGAACCACTTACAGCAGAATATGGTGGTAACTAAAATAATTATATTGATATATTTTACATTCATTTATCATACAAATTTTATAACAATTTTATCATACAAATTTTATAACAATTTATCATACAAATTTTATAACAATTTATCATATAAATTTCATATTCATATATCGTATGAATCAGTGTATTTAACATAATATATAGACGATATTTGTCGTTTTAGAGTGAATAACATATTTTATTTCATCGAGAAGCAAGAAAACTTATATTTTCACGAATGCGTAGCATGAGTGAAAATATAAACGTTTTCTTGCTTAGAGATGAAATAAAATATGTTATTCACGACAAAACAACAAATGTTCTATTTATTATATGATTTTACAATCATTTTAGGTAAAAACAACATGGACTACTTTGTCCGCTTCTAGCCAGTGGAATAACACTTTTATTTCACTGATAAAACGCGGTATTCCACTACTGATCATAAAATAAATCAGTGTATTTTACATTAATAGGTGAATTTATGTCCTTTGATATATGTTACTAGTTTTGAAATTTGGTTCACTTTTGGTATTTTTTTACTTGGATCACTGGGAAAATAAAATAAAGCCTTTTTTGGGGATGGTAAATATACTGAAAAACCTCAAAATAAAATGTGGTTTAATATCCTACTGTTCTGCTCTGACTGGGCTAATGAAGACGGGCATACGCCATACAGTGTGCAGCCTACTCTTATATAAAATTCCAACTGCCAAGGGATCGTTTACGTACACTCCAATGTGTACACAGAACCTCGGTTTTTAATTCCATTCAAACGACTAGACAGCAGTCCTTATAAGGCCCTCTGTCCTGCACCACTGACAAGGGGAAATCACGCCGGAAAATCACGATGAACTTTCTCGGCCAACACCGGGATCAAACATGCAACCCCCAGGCTAGTGAGCCAGCATCTTACCTACTTAGCCACCGTGGCTCCCTGAAAGCTTCAAAACTGGTTAAATATTCCTGTTGTGTATATATATGTAAGATGCATCTATTACAGTAAGTGTTGACAATGTTTTGGGATACCTCAAGTATATCATAGTAGTTACTTACTTTATCTAATGATAATGCTGTAACACTACCTTCATGACCATGTAATGTATATAAACATAAACAATCTTCTAATCTGAATACCTGTAAATAAATATAATCATCTGTTTTCTTTTAAACTAAATTTTTTACACTAAATGTTTGGTGCTAAACATTTTCACCCACTTGCTGCTAGCCATTAAAGTACTTTACCCACCATTAAAGTACTTTACCCACCATTAAAGTATTACACCCACCATTAAAGTACTTTACCCACCATTAAAGTACTTTACCCCATTAAAGTATTACACCCACCATTAAAGTACTTTACCCACCATTAAAGTACTTTACCCCATTAAAGTATTACACCCACCATTAAAGTACTTTACCCCATTAAAGTATTACACCCACCATTAAAGTACTTTACCCACCATTAAAGTACTTTACCCCATTAAAGTATTACACCCACCATTAAAGTATTATATGCATTAAAAAGTGGTATCAAAGAATACATCGACTGTCGCTAACATGAACCAATTACCTTTAATGTATGATCTTGACTGGCAGATACGACACGCCCACCTTCTGATTGGAGGGCATTGATTGGACGTTGATGAGCTTTTACAGATAAATGACAAACACAACGTAATATCTCATCATAAACTTTGACCTCACTTGAACTACGAACATGACCTCTGTGCTGTCTTGGTGTAGAAGATGTAGTGACGGGTGGGGGTGTGATGGGATTTCTAAATGTTTCTAATGCCAGGAAATCAATGCTACCATCTAGTCGTGCAACTATAACACTGAAAATAACATATTTTTTTATTATAGTCATTGGTTACACAGAGAGAGAGATAGAGAGAGAGAGGAATGGGGTTTAATGTCCACTCAACACAAAAAAGGTAATTCGGGACTAACATACAATACATGTTTATTTCAATAATTCAATCCGGGGTGTTTAGCAGTGTTTGGAAACTGGAGGACCAAGAACAAACCCAAAAGGTTGGACAGGCAACCCCAGTTCACCAACCAGCTTGGGATCAGAACAACAAAACATTACTGAATAAACGACATTAAGTATTGGTTATTTTATGTGCACACCAATGTGTACATGGGACCTCAGTTTTTTGCACCATTCGACCAACTCAAAACGGGAGCCACATTGGCTAGGTGGGTAAGACAATTGCCCACTCGCCTGCAGGTTGCGAGTTCGATCCCAGCATTGGCTGAGAAAGTTCATGAAGATTTTCCGATGTTGTTTACCTCTGTCAATGGTGCAGGACCTAGGGCCTGACAAGGACAGCTGTCTAGTCATTCGGAAGAGACAAAAAACTGAGTACTGTGTATACATTGGCGTACACATAAAAGATCCCTTAGCGGTTGGAATTCGATGTAATAGTAGGACATAGTGCCACTGCCCGGGCTTAATTTCCCTCATAGCACACTGTATGGCATATGCCCATATTCATTAGTACAGTAGGAGCAGAACAGTAGGAGGTTAAACCCCATTTCATTTCAAACTAAAAACAGTTCCTTGTCAGGCCCCTCGATTAAATAAAGATATATTTACCTATTTCCTGTAAAAGAAATGGCTGTCACTCCTGATGGTTTCATTTCATACTGACTTTTTAATATTCCAGCTTCTGCTTCCCAAATCTAATTTAAAAGAATTTAACAATGTAAATAAATGTTTATCATTGTGAGAGTGAGAGAAATGTGGTTTAACGTCCACTCGAAACAGAATAGGTCATTTCGGGACTAACATATGGTTTAATTTTATTTCAATAATTCGCTTGAGCACAGGGGATTCGAAACCACGCCATTTGACTCAATGACAGGCCTTATGATACAGCACGTGCATGTGCTAACCATTCGGCCATCCAACCCCCTGTTTATCATTGTAAATGTTTTATATGTGTTGGATCATAATATGACACATAATCTAATATAAATGTCTGAACAAACTGTGCAGCCAAAAATTAATTGCTAAAAAAAGTTTTGATAGTAATATACAAATCATGACTTATTTCAAAACTAGGTTGTATTGTGCTTTTTTGGCTCAGACAACATTTAAATATTATCACATGAACAAAAATATGGAAAAAATTTTCACCCAAATAATTCTAACTACCAAGTCATTTCAGTGTATTACAAATGTATATGTGCTTTACTAAGTATTTGAGTTAATTTCAATAAAAGGCTACGATGATAGTAATGTATAAAATTATAGAGAGAAAAAGCAATCGGTTTAACATCCAATCTACACAACTAGGTCATTTCGGGACAAATGATTCAAATTGATATCAAGATTCGCTTTCATGTGGAAGGTAACCGGAGCACCCAGAGAAAATCTAGGTTGGACTGACAACAAGCTTACTCCTTGTCACTACAAGTGTAGGATCGAAACCATACCACAACTCAATAACAGACCTTGTGATCTAAAGTGTACACGTCGGACTAGTAGACCACACATTCGCCATTCCACATATATAAATTATAACTTACTTCCACACGACCATTACCACAACCAACTACTATTAATCCTTCTCTACAGGCTAAACACCATACAGCAGATACAATTTCTTCTGTCATATCATCATCAAAATACCATGGTATTTCACCTAAAATAGTCAAAATAACATGGTGAGTCAAAATAACATGGCGAGTCAAAATAAAATAACATAATAACCTGGCGAGTCAAAATTACATGGTGAGTCAAAATAACATGGTGATTCACCTAAAATAGTCAAAATAACGATAGGTCAAAATAACATGGTGAGTCAAAATACCATGGTGAGTCACCTAACACAGACAAAATACCATGGTGATTCACCTAAAATAGTCAAAATAACATGTTGATATATCTATAACAGTCCATAAAACAGGGTGATTCACCATAAGCAATGATATATACAGTAGATATAAACACTAAGGCACCAGGAGTTTTTTATTATTATTGTTCCATGTAATACTATACTTACCAGTACTCAAGCTTCGAAGCCGTGGACTTAAAATATTTTCCCAATCATGTCCGCTAAGTTCGGCACTATGTATGCGATTATCTCTACTGAATGTAGTGGGGTCTGCGTTATGAACTAACTGCCAGTGTTCTTCGTAAACTTTATTAAATCTAGACTTGAAATCATAACCTTGTGATGCAGATGCATCTCCATCTTTAGAAATTTCGGATAATTTGGGGGTGACGGGATCAGGTGTTGAAAAATCGAAACTAATGGTGCTGGATAAATCTGGTTCATTTTCAAATCTGTTATGTCTGGAATAGTCGAGACTGCGTGATTTTTCCGAGAGGCTTGTATCCGATGATCCTGTTGATTCCATACCAAAACTATCTCCATGATATTCAGCATAAAGATCTGCATCACTATCTTCTATATTACGACCTAAACATGGCTTTCTTCGTCTTGGAGGAATTATACTAAAAATAAAAACAGAATTATTGATGGATTTAACACAAATGTCTTGAATATAATTGTTATTTATTATCAAGTGTAACATAGTAATAAATGGGCTTCATCCTAGTTTTCTGCTATAACCGGACAAATAACGATTGCCATATGCCATGCAATGTGCTATGAGGGAAATATTTCCCAGGCTATGGCATTTTTGCCTGCTTTTTATCTAAATGCCAAAGGTTCTTTAACATGCAACAGGTGGACTTCGCTTATTCTTTGCCAAGCCCTTTGTCCCGAATCACCAAAAATGGGGAGGGGAGAGACAGGGGGAGATGGGGAAGGGGGAGACCAGACTGGAAACTGGCATCGAACCCAGAACCCCTGGTTGCAAATGTGTATTATGGACAGAAAGGCTTCCACTATCTTACCTTTTTCTATTTAAAGTTGATATACATTCGCCACTATTAGAATCCCATACTCGTAATTCTCCACCTAGACATGCACTTATAACTAACTGTCCATCTGTTGTTATACACTCTATATCCTACAAAATATCAAATACATTCCATTTTACTTTATATCCTACAAAATAACAAATTCATTCCATTTTACTATGTATCTATAATATTAAACAACATCTACTTTCAGGTATCAGAATCAATTATTGATTCTGTATCCATCTTGATATATAGATATATACTAGGTCATTTCGGGACTAACACATGGTTCAATTTTATTTCAATAATTCGCTTGCGTGTAGGGGTCTGTAGCAGTGGGATTAAACCGAAGGACCCTTAGAAAACCCATGAGGTTGGACAGGCAATCCTACTCTTTGCCACATACAACCAGAGAATCGAAACCACGCCAGTTGACTCAAATGACAGACCTTATGAAACAGCGTGCACGTGCTAACCATTCGTCCATTCAATCCCCCAGCAGTGGGAGGAACCAGAAGACCTGGAGAAAACCAAGTCACATGATTCAATGACAGACCTTATGATTTAAAGTGCACACGTTAAACCATTTGGCCATCCAACAGCCTGTAAATGACTCTTGAACATAATGCAGCACTATAAAAGACATTCAATCATTATTGTTATAATAATACATATACCATACCTGGTTATGTCCCCTTAAAACCAAAGGTATTGACTCCTTTATAAATCTGTTAACACCTTTACGGTGATGACGACGAACCTTCGCCCACGATGATCTCCACTTGGCATAATTTCTCGAACACATACATTTATACATAACAACCATGAAATAGGTTATAACAATAACACTCAATATTCCAAAACATACTGTTATTATATACTCCTTCTCAGATTTAGGTATAAATAACTTTAACTGTTCTGCATCATACATGTGAGTATAATCAGACAGTTCATTGGTTGAATCCTCTGCTTTTAATGTATTGGAATGTGTGATTGGCTGATTATCATTTGGTGAATGTAACTCAGTATTTGATTGCATGTCTGCTGGGTGTCTTATTTTGATAGCGGTGTCTGGATCGATGATGGCTGATACATGAATTGCGGGTAGAATGCTGACATAACTGAAAAGAGAAATAGATGAGGTTTAAAGTCCACTGACCAACGTTCACACTGTCAATCGCCCTATCAAATTATAATTTTGATATCTATATTCTATGATAAAATGTTTTAATGGCATTTAGTAACTGAACTGGAAATACCTTATACCATTCTATAGAATACATGTTACTATTCTATAGAATACCTGTTACCATTCTATAGAATACCTTATACCATTCTATAGAATACCTTATAGCATTCTATAGAATACGTGTTACCATTCTATAGAATACCCGTTACCATTCTATAGAATACAGGTTATAATTCTATAGAATACCTGTTACCATTCTATAGAATACCTGTTACCATTCTATAGAATACATGTTACCATTCTATAGAATACCTGTTACCATTCTATTGAATACAGGTTATCATTCTATAGAATACCTGTTACCATTCTATAGAATACCTGTTACCATTCTATAGAATACATGTTATCATTCTATAGAATACATGTTACCATTCTATAGAATACAGGTTATCATTCTATAGAATACCTGTTACCATTCTATAGAATACAATTACTCTTTATTACTGAACGACGTTTCGGCTAGGTTACTCTAGTCATTATCAAGTAATGATGAAATATAAATAACATTGTGATTCACTGAGCCATGTCGCTCCATAAACCGTTTAATATCAAAATAGGGAAGCTGTAGACAAAAGGTTGCTTAGTAATAAGCAATAATTGCATTCCATAGAATTGTGACATGTGTATATTCTATGACGTTTATAATTATATTCTTATTTAAATACTAACCTTCCTAGTAAACTGATATTATAATGACCAAATAACGTCTGCCAATGTTTATATGATAATTGATCAAATAGTTCCAACTCTGTATGTTCTACTGGACCAATACCATCATCGTATTCATACACTCTTCCCATCCCCCACATGCCTTCATTAGGTGCTTTAGATGTTTTTTCTGCTAACAATTCTGCTTTAAGTAACGAGTCTACCGTGGGGTGAGGATTATTTGACTGAATGGATTCATTCTGGCTGGTTAATGTGTCTACTAGTCCAGATTTATATACAATCAATGCAATCCAGATGACTGTACATACCTAAAAACAGGATATATTATTAACAAACATACATTATGCAAGAGCTAAATCTGCCTATTGCAGGTCTTTCTTTAGGCCTGAAATCTTATATAAATTATCAATTAGACATTAATTAACTTATCAAGTCTCGATGCCATCATTAGCCTGCGATAATTAGTGGATTTGAATACCTTTCATGACGAATGATTTAACCTAAAAGAGAGAGAGAGAGAAATGGGGTTTAACGTCCACTCGACAAACCAGATCATTTCGGGACTAACATATGGTTCAATTTTATTTCAATAATTCATTTGCGCGTAGTGGTCTTTAGCAGTGGGAGGAAACCAGAGGAACTGGAGAAAACCCATAAGGTTGGACAGGTGACCCTACTCCTTGTCACGTACAACCGGGGAATCGAAACCACACGACAGTTAATGGTCAGTGAGCTAGCAACTTAAGCAGAGTAAAAGCAGAGAAGATAGCCAATAAGAAATTTCCATAAAACAATGAAACAACATACCATTATCAATCTTTGGAATATTCTTGTTCTGGCCCAGAAATACAAAAACTTCAGTCGTCTCGGTAATTCCAAAATAGCTGGTGACGGGAAGAACGTGTCATCACCATGACCTCCAGGAGAAGGAGGTGGAGTTCCATGTGGATCACCTTGACTATCTAGTCTGGGATCTGACTTTGACTTGTGGATCTTCGGTGTGTTAGCTATACTAGGGAATTTACTAGCTACAGGACAACGATATAGGGGTTCTATCTGAACTGTTGCTTCCTGGTTATCATGAACACTTTGAAGAACACTCTGTTTGTGAAGGTCGGATAACTGAAAGAGAAATTAATGTAGATGATAATATATGTATATATGAATAATTAAATATTCCTTTTATCTTTCTTACGTCACTCAGATTCAGAAACAAATATTAAGTAATCAGACATGGAAATAATCATTTCAGTTGTATCTGACAAAATTTTGGGCATTAATGTACGATGATGGTTCGACCACAAACATTTTTAATCCTAATCCAAACCCTTAAAAACCCCTGTTAAATCAATAATTAATTATTCTTTTTATCTTTCTTACATCACCCAAATAAAGAGCGAGTGAAAAATGGGGCTAAAGGTCCACTCAACACAATCTAGGTAATTTTGGGACTAACATAGGTTCAATTTTGTTTCAATAAGTCGCTTGCACGTAGAGGTGTTTAGGAGTTGGTGGAAACCAGAGGACCCTGAGAAAACCCAGAAGGTTAGAATGGCAACCTTACTCGTCACATAGAAGTGGGGAATTGAAACCACGCCAGTTGACTCAATGACAGACCAAATGATCCAACGCTGTGACATGTGCCATATTTCTAAGCTTGTCAGTACTGTACTCCAGCCTACATTTACATCTATTAACAAAAATAAGCTACATGTGATGTAAAAAATTAATACCTCCATTCTTCTAATATCCACAGATAAAACAGTTACAAAAAATACCATCTGTAGAAAAAAATCAGACGCCAGTCCAACCACGGCAAATAAACAAAATTCCTATAAAAGAAAAAAATCATCTTTGAAAATGGAATGGGGTATCTTAGAGATTGCAATTGGGTATCTTTGAGATTGGAATGGGGTATCTTTGAGATTGGAATGGGGTATCTTTGAGATTGGGATGGGCTATCTTTGAGATTGGAATGGGGTATCTTTGAGATTGGAATAGGGTACCTTAGAGATAGGAATAGGGTACTTTTGAAATGAAATGAAATGAAATGAAATGAAATGAAATGGGGTTTAACGTCCTACTTTTGAGATTGGAATAGGGTATCATTGAGATGGGTGTCTTTAAGATAGGAATGGGGTGTCTTTGAGATAGGAATGGGGTGTCTTTGAGATGGGAATGGGGTGTCTTTGAGATAGGAATGTGTCTTTGAGATGGGAATGGGGTGTCTTTGAGATGGGATATATCATGACAATAACATGTGCTGTTTACATTATTTTCATCATAAATTAGAAACAAGTTTTGAAATTTATGGGAATGGAGTTAGGGCCACATTTTACACAGTAATATCTTATTTTGCCCTAACTGAAATAAATATCTACTTACTTGTATGGCTGGTACGAACGTAAAGAAACCCACCAGAATAATACCCAACTCTAAAACTAGATTTTTAGTGACAAACCAACCTTCTTTACTTAAACCTGTACAAATAGAGATAACAATATGGTTATAATTCTATATTAAAGATGCTTTCCCACAAAAGTATTTGGTATGGCAATTTGGTATATATGGAAAATAGCGACACCCATCTTACTAGAAAAATACTGGATTCCTGGGAAAACAGAAGGAAAATGAGGTGTCACTAATTGGCTGTCTGACGATTAAGGACTGTCACCTGGAGTGACACGACAACAATCGAGTCTAACCATACCAATTCCGACCAAAAACAGCACTATGCAATTCAGCATGTGGCAAATGTACCATATATTCTACATTACATTCACATTTTTACATTTCGCAAAAAAAACACAAAAAAACCCTCTCTCTTTAAGCATTTCATATTGGAACGTTTATGGCATTTAAAGAGAGAGTGAAATGGGGTTTAACGTTAACTCGGCACAAACTAGGTCATTTCGAGACTAACACATGCTTCAATTTTATTTCAATAATTCGCTTGCGCATAGGGGTCTTTAGTAATAGGAGGAAACCAGAGGACCTGGAGAAAACTCACGAGGTAGGACAGGTGACCCTACTCTTTGTCAAGTACAACCGGGTAATCAAAACCATGCCAGTTGACTATATGACAGACCTTATGATACAATGCACACACGCTAACCATTCGACCATCCAACCCCCCATGGCATTTAAAAAAAAATGATTATGTACTACTCAGATCACAACTGTCAAGGAAATATACCTTGAAATATTCCTGTGGGATACATAATATTTTTCAAATCTTTCAAACGTTCATTCCTACCTATAAGTGCTGAACTTAATAAAACTTAAATGAAATATTGGTTGTATATAAAATGTTGGAGTTATTTATACAATTTAAATGAAATATTGGTTGTATATAAAATGTTACCTTGTGCAACTCTATATTTAACATCTAGATGTACCGGTGTTGATACAACAGATTTCGTTAATACTACAACATTCTCTACACCAATAATAACTACTAAATATGGAAATATCTCACTGAAAACACAACAAAATAGTACATGTGAAATTATCAGAGAGAAAAACTATGTCATATCGGGATTTAAAGGGGCATTATGGGAAATAAGATAAAGAGTTGACAGTTCTTGCTATAATAGTTAGAAAATAGATAACGTTAATTGAATATGCTGAAAATTTCAGTCAAATTTCTCCACATTTTGAACATCGAAGGAATTGCTGAATAGAACCTCGCTGTTATACATTTATTCTACTATAAATCCTTTTTATGCCTTTTAATCCTCACTCGGTCAGGGACCGTATCCCAATTAGTCAAGTGAAGTTTGTTTTCGAATTATGGTTCCCGCGATTACGAGGGATGGTTCTCACTAGTCACAAGTAAATCTGCTACAAGCGATTAACAAATCATAGCAATTTGTTTTGATTTGTAATCTAGGTTAAAACAAAGAGAATTAACTTACCTCCCCTTTAATTTAGGCGTCATTCCAAAGAAGGTACAAATACTAACAGATACTAATAATGATGCTATAACCATAGCAACGGCACTAATAGCCAAACCCCATTTTGATTTAACCATTTCAATTTTTTCTGGAAACAAATATAACACATTCAATTAAGAGGGGAAATAATTATGGAGAACAAATATTAGCAAATGCTAGAATGACTACATGTGACAGAGGCAGAGTAAATTTGTTGGAAATGATAAGTGTACATTTGCTGACAATCATAATTTAAATTTGCTGACAATCATAAGTTCAAATTTGCTCACAATGATAAGTGTACATTTGCTCACAATGATAAGTGTACATTTTCTGATAAAGACTAATGTACATTTGCTGACTATGGCTGGTGTAAATTTGCTGACAATGACTCATGTCGATTTGCTGAAAATGACTAGCATCAATGACTAGTGTAAATTAACAATAAATAAACTTATATACTTACTAACAGAAAAATATAGGTATAACAATAATACAAAATATGTAACAAATAAATAAGTATATTCTGCGAAGTAGTTGATATCTTTATAATGATAATGAACCATATGATGTATCTCTGTGTTATTTACATTCTCCATTGTATCAGGATACAGAGATTCTAATTTCACTCGTAGAGCTTCAGTAAAACTGAAAATATATTAATATTCATGTAGTTAAAGTGGATGATCATGCATTTTACAATAACGCCCTACCGTTCTGCACCAACTGGGCTAATAAAGACAATGTCTAATTTTTTTTAAGGCTTAATCCACTCAAACCAAAATATTAATTAAGAAAACAAAACCAACAAAGATAAATGGAATGAAATGAAATGGAGTTTAACGTCCTACTGTTCTGCTCCTAAACTGGGCTATTGAAGACAGGCATACATCATACAGTGTGTTATGAGGTACATTTTCCCCAGGCAGCGGCACTATGGCCTACTCCTATTATATCAAATTCCAACTGACAAGGGATCTTTTACGTGCACGCCGACGTATACACAGGTCCTCGATTTTTCATCACGTCCTAACAGCTAGACAGCTGTCCTTGTCAGGACCTCCATCCTGCACCACTGATAAGGGGAAACCATGTCGGAAAATCCTGATGAACTTTCTCGGCCAACAAAGATAAATAGTCTATCGAATTGGGTTTAATCTGATTAAAAAGAGGCCCATCACCATATTTTAAACCAACACTCGCTTGTATTGTCCGCAATTCGTCATATCTTTTTGTAACTACTGAAAGTAATCAAACCATTTTTATACGCCCACATTTTCATGTGGACGTATGTTGTTGTTGCCCCCGTCCGTCCATCCATCCATCTGTCCACAATTTGTTTGTGAACACTCTACACGTCACAACTTTTGTTTGAACTAAGCATACAATATCACTATCAGTAAATCATTTCAGTTCTTTTTTTTTGTCTAGAATTTTAACTGTCCTTTTGTCAAGTTTATAGTTTAAATACAGAATAATCTCAATCTGATTAAAATACAGATCTATATTTCGTTTTGTTTTTTTATACTTTCAATGGCCTACACTACATGAAGATCTGACAGGTTATAGACCCTATAGACATCAGAGATTAGAGAGGAATGGGGTTTAACATCCACTCGACACAAACTAGGTCATTTCTATGGTTGGGTTAGGGTCCAATTTTATTTCAACAATTTGCTTGCGCATAGGGAAACCGGAGGGCCCGGAGAAAACCTACAAGATTGGACAGGCAAGTATGATGTCAGACATTGATTAATCAATCAGCGTTGACTATTCTAGTGGCTTACCCACAGTTCCGTGCACCGCATGCCAAGAACTCACCGTAACAGACCGTTTCATTGGCTAATCCATTAATTCAACCAGAACGTGGGTTATATAAAAACTCTTCCAGATAATAGTGTAGTAAAGACAAGTAAAACGAAATTTTGAACTATAAAAAAATGAAACGAAATAGGATCTGTGTTTAAAAAAAGAAACTTACACTGGATCATATCTCTTTAATACAATAGTAATAGCAAATGATACTGGTCGTTCTTTATTCCGTATTGCATAATGTGATATTCCTGACTTAAACCATGGTATACCAAACAGCAGGTCTGAAATATAATAGTAAATACCATGCTAGAGAGAGGGAGAGGACTGGGGTTTAACGTATACTTGAAACAAACAAGATCAATTTGGGGCTAACATATTATGGTGCAAATGTATTTTAATAATTCGCTTCCTCATAAGGGACTTTAGCAGTAGGAGGAAATGGCGGACCAGGAAAAAAAAAAGGTTCAACAGCTGACCCTACTCTTACCTTACGCTGATCACCTCTTTATCTGATTCTTCAACCCCCATTTTCATCATCCCCCTAATCTCATTTTCCCCTGATCAAATCATTTCCTGATTTTATTCCCCCCCTGATCTCATCAAACCACAGATTTCATCACCGGCTAATCTTATTTCAACATCCCCTGATTTCATTTCCCCCTGTGATCACATCTTTTCCTAATCTCATTTCCTCTGATCAGTTAAGTTCAATGAGACTCACCTTTAACATATGGGGCTGTCTCTAAAGGTTGACCATATCTTCTAAAAATAGTTTTTAACAAATCTGCGTCTTTGCTGAACCTAAATAAAATAATTCAGATGAAAAATAACATAAAAAATAAACCACATGACTGCTAAAAAATATCCTAAAAATTCTTAATAAGGATAGGGTCACACAATCAAAGGGAGATAACTCTAACATTTACCTATTATCTCCCCTTTGACCACAGATTATCTTTTCTGTATGAATTACCGACATTCACCAACTAACTTGTAATCTAACTGAAATGTTTCTAACAAAAACAACCTGACAATTATTTTGACCAAATAGATTCTATTCTAGAGTTTCCAAGATAGACAACTCTTGAAAATTATCTCTGAAGATCAGTTACCTAACTCCACGGACTAATCCCCACAAAATATAACAAGTTCAAAAATATCAAACACTAGAGTTATAAATTATCAAGCGATGATCCAACTGTTGAAATACAATAGGTGTATTCATTTCAATAACATAAACTTAAGCAAATTCAGGAGATACTGTGCTCATAAGGACAGCAGCCATCATAAAACTACAATTTCATGCCGGTAATTGTTTCTTGGTAATAAACTTACTTTGTTTCTTGATTCTGCCAAAGATTAGCTGGGGATACCAGTAAACAGGAATATTCTGGTAAAAGACCTTTGACCTTTCCACGTGTCACAACCTCTGATACACGTAAACACAAATCTGACAGTGTAATATCTTCTCCTCTATAATAATAATAATCATAATAATCATAATCATGATTATAATAATGATAATGATGATTATAATAATGATGATAATGATGATAATAATAATGATAATGATGATAATCATAATCATGATGATAATCATACATGATGATAATAATTATGATCATGATGATAATAATTATGATCATGATGATAATAATTATGATCATGATGATAATAATTATGATCATGGTGATGATAATAATGATAATATTATCATAATAATAATAATAATATTTATGATCATGATGATAATAATAATGATGATAATAATTATGATGTAGGTGTTCATCAGGTAAAACCTCGACTGAGTTCAATATAGAGTTTAGCCGGTTGATTTGTTGGATATAAACCTTTGAATAATAGCGCCTAACAGGCAGCTGTGTTTAATTGTGTTTAATTATGTTCTCCTGATTTTGATTGTTTCTGTGTGTTTGAAGTATATGTTTGTGATATGCGCTTAGAAACACTTCACGTGTAATGAAGCGCTATATAAATCGAACAATAATAATAATAATAATAATAACGATGATTATGATGATAATTATGATCATGATGATGATAATGATAATGACTGAATGTTATTTACATTGCATACAAAACACAACAGAAAATGGTATATCTACTAGAATTTTCCAAATGTCCAAAAAGGAATATATAGGTGTTCTTAAATTACCAAGAAGGTACACCAGTACTTTAAAATGACCAATAATACTCTGTATTGTGCATGACACCTATCACAGCATAAATCATCATTATGCATATTATTTTCACTAATTATCTGAATGCCAATCAGTACAATAAAATTTTAAAACTGAGCAACACAAGCAGGCAGTAAGCTGTCACTATGATTCTAGTGAGCATGTTGAGCTATTAGCTTGTCCCGTAATAAGTTCCCTGCCGGAGTTGGCAGACAAAGTTCCCCAATGTGTACACGGACCTCAGGTTTTATTAGCCATGACCTAGATTGAACACAGGACCTCGTTACCACAGACAGATTTAGCTCTTGCATAATGTATGTTTAAATGAACTTTATGGCAGCCTCTAACGTGTTCACAAATTGTAGCTTCTATCGCTTTCATAAGCCAATTGTTGACAGACAGACGACACAATACCCCCACACTGAAATGTGACCATATCAAAAAATACTAACCTTACATGAACTTTAAGGTTATTTATTTGTTCCAGAGTTTTAAAGAGGAGAGATAATGGTGCTCTAAAGGCATCAGTTGAGATCATTTGTGAAGATTTCCAAGGGGATACTGTTGCTTTAAATACTATCTGCTGTATATAGCCGTTCGGCTTTCCAACATACTGAAATACATTGAATTAAAAAATATAACTTCTCTTAAATAATTTTTATCTGACTGGTTTGCAATTGGCTAAAGTGAAAGAGACAAAGAGAGAGTGAGAGTGACAAAGAGAGAGAGAGAGAGAGAGAGAGAGAGAGAGAGGTAATATCCACTAACACAAACTTCATGTAGGTCATTGCAGTTGGAGTCTTAAGCAGTAAGAGGAAATCAGAGGGCAGAAAAAACCAACCAGGTTTGACAGGCGAACCCTATTCCTTGTCACGTTTAAACGGGGAATCAAAGTCATGCCACTTGACACAAAGACGGTATATAATTAACACTGTCTTCAAGTACATAACACTTTCATATGGTCATTTTATGTACTCTTTAACATGTGTTTTGTATTTTGAAACCAAATTAACAAAATAATACATTGCATGATTTGACATGCAATTTGTGTTGGGGTGTCGTGTCTGGGTAAACATGGTCAGGGTAAACTGTCAAGGATTCTTTTACGTACATGTCGCAATGCGTATACGACTATTCTACAATTTTCCAGGCCAACCAATATCAGCCCAGGACATTTTAGAGTCTTCACCAATCCATTACCATGGCCCTCTTACCACATATTAAAGTATATGCACACCACATTCTGTGTATATGTCTGTCCACTAAAAATGTCTTCTATTGCATACATAAAATAAAAAGGAAAACCAGGCTGGAAACATACTTTGTGCTCCACCATTGGAAACGAAATGAAATGAAATGGGTTTTAACACCTTACTGTTCTGCCCCGACTGGGCTATGAAGACGGCCATGCAGTGTGCTATGAGGGAAATTTTGCCTGGACAGCTGCACTACTTAAGGCTTACTCTTATATAAAATTCCAACTGCCAAGGGATATTTTATATGCACGCCGATGTGTACACGGGACCTCGTTACTTTGTCCCATCCCAATGACCAGACAGTTGTCCTTGTCAAGGCCTCCATCCTGTACTAATGACAATGGGAAACCCTGCGGGACCATTGGGAACACATGCATTTACTTCAATGAAAGATCTTACCCATCTTGGATTAGCCAAATCTTGTTCATCATGTTTGGTCATTGGTTGAACTCTTGGTGGTACTTTATAACCCTCTAAAGGTGTGATATATTTAACAGGAGCATTACCAGGTAATGGCAAGTTGGTCAATGGATAGCTGAAATTAAAAAAAAATATCTTAATTTGACAGAAATTCAACTTTTAGGCAACCCTGTAAAGAGAGAGAGGGAGAAATGAGGTTGAATGTCCATTCGACACAAACTAGGTTATTTCAGGACTAACACATGGTTCAATTTTCTTTCAATAATTCGCTTGCACATAGGAGCCTCTAGGAGTGGGAGGAAACCTGGGGACAGGCAACCCTACTCTTTGTCAAGTACAACTAGGGAATCGAAACCACACCAACTGACTCAATGACCGACCTTATTATACAACACACACGCGCTATCCATTCGGTCATTCGACCCCGTCTCCTCCCTGTCGATATAAGAATTAGGATGTGGTCAATTTGTTTTATGTCTGTTCTCAAATGGAGGTAATTGTAGACAGACAGTGTTGCGTTCGTATGTATTATCGCATAACAATTATTCACAGAGTTCATGGTTTTCACTTGAAATGGGGGTTTAACATCCTACTGTTCCGCTCCTAACTGGGCGAATGTAGATGCGCTAACACCGACCATACAGTGTGCTGTGAGGGAAATTTTGCCCGGACGGGGGCACTACGGCCTACTCTATTATCAAATTCTAACTGTCAAGGATATCTTTTACGTGCACTCCAATGTGTACACAGGACCTCGTTTTTTCATCCCATCCGAACATCTAGACAGCTGTCCTTGTCAGGCCCTCTGTCCTGCATCACTGACAAGGGGGAACCACGCTGGAAAATCTGGATGAACTGTCTCGGCCAATGCAGGGATCCAAACAGTTAAGTGTTTAAGAGGCTTAAAACTAGGACTTTGGTATCCATATACTGACTTTTCCCATTTTGAAATGAGGTGCATGTGTTTACATGTACATGTATATATACTGTTTGAAACGAGGTGCATGTGTTTATATATATATATTGTTGGTTTTTTTCCACACTTGTTAAAATAACAATGACACATAAATGACCCTTGCATTATGCCACTTTTAACATATTAACGTTGACCTTAGGAGTGTCTGGTTTTTCTAATGTAATTTTAAGTTGAATAATTGGTACAATGTGTTTGTGAATCACTCTATACATTATGTATTGTTATGATTATAAAATTAGAATTAGTTTGTCATTATAAAGGTATTTATTGTATTATATTATCATATAAAATGGCTAATAACAATAATAACTAATTGAACACATATAGTACAATCTATTATTTAAAATTGTTTAAGAGGTTATTTTTATGGTAACTGGACTATTACTAGACCTGGACTGCTCCTTACAGTAAGTATAAACTTTTTACGCAAATTGATTAGCCTTTCCAAAATCAGCTTAAAGTTAATTAAAATATTATTCATTTGACTATTTTGACTGTAACAGATTAAATACAATTAAAATAATTTTTAAATTGATAAAGAAAGATGTAAATGAGACACAGAGAGAGAAATGGGGTTTAACGTCCACACGACACAAACCAGGTCATTTCAGGACTAACACACGGTTCAATTTTATTTCAATAATTCGCTTGTGCATAGGGGTCTTTAGCAGTAGGAGGAAACCGGATGACCCGGAGAAAAACCACGAGTTTTGACAGGCGACCCTACTCCTTGTCACGTTCAACCGGGGAATCGAAACCACGCCAGTTGACTCCAACAACCAAGGGATCTTTTACAAGCATTCCAATGTGTTACTGTACATGGGACCACATTTTTTTGTCTCATCCGAACGAATATATGTTGTCCCTTGCCAGGCCCTCTAGTCTGTACCACTAACAAGGGGGAACCATTCAGGAAAATCTGGATGAACTGAATGTTACAGCTCACTTCATCTCTCTCTAAACATGATGTTTGTATTTCAGAAATCAAATTACCAATACTTTAACCAGCTGTTTACATCTGATTACAAATAAGATGGGGAGTTTAGTAAAACCCCTTACTTATAAAATTGGATCAAGTTTGATCTTATTTGCCATTGTTTTAGCAATAATTGGAATACCAACGCCAGCCTGGAACAAGTTTCAACGTGGACTATTTATAAAATGTGATGGACCTGGGACATTTGAAAGCTGCAAGACAATCCCTAAAGAGGATCATTCTGGTTTGTACATTTTAATTTGTCATCTCATAAAGACCTGAAAGCTGGAGAGAGGGATGGAGAAAGAGAGAGAGAGAGGTGTGTAATATCCACTCTGCACAATCTAGGTTATTTTGGGGGGAGAGAGAAATAGATTTAAGTCCACTCAAAACAAACTAGTTCATTTAGGGACTATTTCAATAAATCGCTTGTGCGTAGGGATCTTTAGGAGAAAACCCACGATGTAAGATAGGCAATCTATTCCTTGTCACATACAACCGGGGAATCGAAACCACGCCAGTTGACTCAATAACAGACCTTATGATACAGCGTGCACACACTAACCATTCGGCCATCCCCCACCCCACCCCTAATCAGTAGTTTTGGAGAAATTTTTTTTTAGGGATCTTTGACGTGGGTCGACCTTTTCAGCTTTCTGAGATATAAATATTTATCTTTTCTGATTGATCTTATTTATTTTAGATTGGGAGTATGCTGTTATTGTACTAGCAGTTATTGGTTTCATATTAATGTTTATTGCATCTATAACCCCATGCTGTTGTCATCAGAGATCACCTGCAATTTTAAGCAGTGTATTTGGAGGTACTGTGACACTGAGTTTTGAAATAAAAAAAACATAGAGAGAGAGAAAGAGAGACACAAACTAGGTCATTTTGAGAAAACCCACGAGGTTGGACAGGTGACCCTATTCCTTGTCACGTACAGCCGGGAATCAAAACCCTGCCAGTTGACTCAATGACAGACCTTATGATACAACGTGTGCACACACTAACCATTCAGCTATCCATCCCCCTTCATATACAAAGTCATAACCTAATGTCATACGGAAGATCAATTACAACTTAAAGAGGTCAACTTAATTTAAAGACCTTAGCATGTTCACAAGATTCTACAAGTGATCAAGTGCAATACCTATAAAATCTTGATTGTGTACAGTCTTCTTAAACTCTGTATTTAAAATTTACTCTGACAAATTGGGTCTTAAATACTGAGATATTTTTACATCTTTTTATCTCTTTCAGGTGTAGGTTTGATAATAAGTTTTGCAGTATACTTTCAGAAAACAACCAATGGCAATGTCTTTTGGGCCTGTTATCTTACACTGATAAGCGGTATAATCAGTTTTATCGGAGGAATATTCCTGCTACCCGGCAAAAATTACAGGAATTATAGTGTATAGATATACAGTGGCATAATTTGTTTCACTGGGAGTTGATTGTTGATATTAGATCGACGTTTTAGCTACTGAGGTAATAAATACAGTTGCTAATAGAAGAACTAAAGTCTATGGTTAGACACCTCAGTGGTTGCAATGTCTTATGTAAACATTCATTCAAAAGTATATATGTTACACAAGACACAAAAAATGTTCATGTCACAGCAATCACGCTGTTCGGAAGATTGGGTTTATTGTGATTCCTCTGGCGTTTACTAGTTTCGAAATTATAATGAAAAGACAGCGTCTGATAAGACTGGACATACTCAGTTATATGTCCTGCCCATCATAAAGTTTATAAAATCATTTGTTCACAATTTATTCTTAGTAAAATTCTAATGTATAAGTTATAATGCAGTATTTCAAAATATTAAATTTTCCACTAGCCCACCAAGCTTAATTATTTCTGTCCTAGCTGAAAACACTTCATATTGTGATTATATTTGTATTGGTGTAATCTGTGTAGCCAAAAACATTTAAATATAAAATAGCCATTGGTCAATCTTGGGCAGTCCTTTCCATTCATTGGTCAATGCTGACGCATGTCTCTGTATTAATTGGTCAATGCTAAGATGGGTTCTTTCATTGATTGGTCAATTCTAAGGAAGGTCCCTTCATTAATTGACCAATGCCTGGGCAGGTCCTTGATTGGTTAATGCTAAGACGGGTCCCTGCATTGATTAGTCAATCCTAAGATGGGTCCTTTCCTTGATTTGTCAATATTAAAGCAGATATATTCATTGACTGGTTAATACTAAGATAGGTTCCTTCGTTGATTGGTCCTCTCATTAATTGGTCAATATTAGTTTAGTTACCCAGTACTTTATCTCTTGGTTTTTTATATGGTATAATATATTAATACAATATCCATATTAATATTATGTTCTTTTCTTCTTCTGTTAGTGTTTAGGGGGATTGGATGGCCAAATGGTTAGTGCGAGCACATTGTATGATTAGGTCTGTCATTGAGTCACTGTTGTGGTTTCGATTCTCCGTTGTACGTGACAATGAGTAGGGTCGCCCGTCCAACCTCGTGGGTTTTCTCCGGGTCCTCCGGTTTCCGCCCACTGCTAAAGACCCCTACGCACAAGCGAATTATTGAAATAAAAATTAAACCTTCTGTTAGTCCAAAAATGACCTATTTTGTGTCAAGTGTCAAGTTAAACCCTAAGCTGTGTGCAATGAGGGAAATTACATGTATGCCCAGCAACGCTATTGGCTACTTTTCTTTTGAATGCCAAGTGTACATCCAATCCGAACAACTAGACACTATTCCTGCAGAAAACCATGCCGAAATATCCAGAGGGCCTTACTCGGTCAACATCGGGAGAGAACCCTTAAGGTTAGTGAGCCAGCATCTTACTCACTTGGCCACCATGACTCCTACTCAAGGAAGGTAACACTGTAACCCGGGTATCATTTAATCTTGTGTATCTAGCACTAATTTCTTTCACATTCGTTTAATATCAAATTTGTACTTGTGTCCAGTTTAAAGCTAACTGACTATTTTTTGATAACAAGTATTATGATTTAGAACTGGATAAGTCTCAAGTTATGAGGCCTATTGCAGGACTTTCTTTTGGCCGTAAAGCTATGTTCCCAGAAAAGTATTTATCGGGTGGTTATTTCCAATAAAAGTATGGCAATTTTGGTATATATGGAAAGTAGAAATATCTAATCTTACTAGAAAAATACTGGATTCCCTGAAAAACACTCATGGAGCACATACAGGACAAAAATGTACATGTTTCCCTAATCGACAGCCCAACGATCAGGAGTGTCTGCACGAGTGACGTCGAAGGTTGCACACGGAGATTGAGCGTTTGATGTACATGTTGATAAACTTTATGAAGAGTTAGATGTTCAACACTTTCTGAGATAAAAATCACGGAAAAAGACGCGGGCAGTGGATAATCCAAGATTTTAATTAGGCTTCGATATTTGTATGCAATGAATTCTCCTCCGACTTCCCACCCGTTGTGTCATGTGACACAACCATGACCTCTTTTGATTGATTTTTTATTGCCGGGTATTCCCTGACAATTGCCATGTTTTGAGAAGGATTTGAAGCAAAATTATGAAATGAAATGGAGTTTAACGTCCTACTGTTCTGCTCCTAAACTGGGCTAATGAAGACGGGCATACAGCTGTCCTTGTCAGGCCCTCCGGCAAAATTATGATAAATTAATTAGTTTGAATATGTTTTTAGTCCAAATATATCATCAAATCACCCAGTTTGTACCCGGGAATGTATCTTATTATATAAATTATTAGTTAGACATTTATTAACATGAAAAGACCCAAAAGAAAGGCCTGCAATAGGCAAATTTAGCTCTTGAATAATGTATGTTTAATATTTAGACACAAATGAAATGATATGGGCTGATGAAGATGGGTATACACCATGCAGTGTGCTACATGTATTAGGGAAATTCAGTCTACTCTTGTTTTGATTTCCAACTGTTCTTGCCAAGACCAACATTTTACGCCACTTAAAAGGGGTAACACCTCAAGGAAGTTTCTCGACCAGCACCAGGAGCGAACCTGACACCTCCTGGTTAACGAGCCAACATCCTCCTCACAGAACCACCGTATAAAATGGAAACAAATATATAGAGGATATTTGTCGTTTTAGAGTGAATAACATATTTTATTTCATCGAGAAGCAAGAAAACGTATATTTTCACGAATGCGTAGCATGAGTGAAAATATAAACGTTTTCTTGCTTAGAGATGAAATAAAATATGTTATTCATGCACGATAAAACGACAAATGTTCTATTTATTTTATGATTTTACAATCATTTTAGGTAAAAACAACATGGACTACTTTGCCAGTGGAATAACACTTTTATTTCACTGATAAAACGCGGTATTCCACTACTGATCATAAAATAAAAACAGCTAATGCTCTCAATTAATGTCTTGGTCTATACGTATGCAATTATAAATAAGGAAAACTAGAGAAATGGGGTTTAACGTCCACTGGACACAAACTAGGTCATTTCGGGACTAACATATGGTACAATTTTATTTCAATAATTCGCTTGCACGTAGGGGTCTTTAACAGTGGGAGGAAACTGGAGGCCCCGGAGAAAACACACAAGATTAGACAGGTGACCCTACTCCTTGTCACATACAACCGCTGAATCAAAACCACACCAGTTGACTCAATGACAGACCTTGTGATACAACGCCCACACACGCTAACCATTCGGCCATCCAACTCCCCAGCAGTGGGAGGCACCGGAGGACCTGGAGAAAACCAAGCCACTTGAATTGATTCAATGCGCACACATTAAACCATATGGCCATGCAATAGTCTGTAAATGACTTTTGAACATAATGCATCACTATAAAAGCCATTCAATTATTATTATTATTATAATGCATATACCCTGAAAAGACAAACAAACAGACAGTCACAAATATTAATATAAATAATAATTACCAGATACAGGCACTAGTGATGATAACACTAATAATTATAGAATACGGATGACTGGCACAGAACAATCCATGGGTGTAGTAAATCTGGGAAATTCTTTCTTTAAAAGACTTCATTTTTTAAATTTATGGAAGTACAGGACATAGTTACATGTGTCCAGTATAAGTTATATAAGACTTCTACTCTACTGTTATTCTCCTCTACGCCATTTTCAACATGAATCATCTGAAATGAAGAGAGATTGGGTTCAGGATAAAAAATAAATCAGATGTGTAAGGCTGACCTTAAAAATATCTTTGTTTCACCAAACCCGACCCACAATCAAGGAGAAGGGTCGGTAGGTTGTTTTTTTTTTCAGATTTTTTTTTAAGAGCTAATTTGACAGCTTGATAATTTTCCGGGTGCAAACATTCGTCTTCTTTTATTGGCAAACAAATCAATGACATCGGGATTTTTCTTGATGCACGACTCGCACACAAATTGCGACAAACTCACGTTTGAAACTCCCTCAACACGTTTTTAACGATCGTGCGGGTTGTGCCTTTATTTTTCTCGAAAATGGATATTGAAAATATCGTCGTCATGTTTAAAACAACGCCCCACAGACATAGAGGCAGAATCATTTCGTGGGAATGGACGTGCTTTCGTCTGCAACCATTTTGTTGAGAAGCGACACCTATGACGCTTTCGTCTTGATCAACCAGTTTCAATAATGAATCAAACCATAGCCATAGTAAAGGGAAATAACTCTCGTGATATATTTCAGGTTGACACACAAAATAAAATAAAAAGATCGCGGAAAAGTGCAATAAAATAATTTAAGTCGGGCGTGGTTTTAGTTAGTCGGTCGCGTTAGGCGAAACAAAGATATTTTTAAGGTCAGCCTAAGAGAGAGAGAGAGAGAGAGAGAGATGGGGTATAACATCAACTGGACACAAACTAGGTCATTTTGGGACCAACATATGATTCAATTTTATCTCAATAATTTGCTCGCACATAGGCGAAACAAAGATATTTTTAAGGTCAGCCTAAGAGAGAGAGAGAGAGAGAGAGATGGGGTATAACATCAACTGGACACAAACTAGGTCATTTTGGGACCAACATATGATTCAATTTTATCTCAATAATTTGCTCGCACATAGTGGTCTTTAGCAGTGGGAGGAAACAGGAGAACCGGGAGAAAACCCAACCCATGAGGTTCGACAGATGGCCCTACTCCTTGTCACATACAACCAGGGAATTGAAACCATGCCAGTTGACTCAATGACAGACACACTTACCATTCGGCCACCCAACCCTCCACTTTATGATGGGGAGTGTTAAATGAGTGTAGATGTTATAGTCCCAAAATGACCTAGTTTGTTTCATGTAGATGTTAATTCCCATCATTAAAAGTCTTCAGTAATGAATGTTATTGTCACACCGTAAGGTGAAATGAAATGAAATGGAGTTTAACGTCCTACTGTTTTGCTCCTATACTGGGCTAATGAAGACGGGCATACGCCATACAGTGTGCTATGAGGGAAATTTTGCCCGGGCAGCGGCACTATCGCCGACTCTTATATCGAATTCCAACTGCCAAGGGATCTTTTACGTGCATTCTAATGTATACACGGGACCTCGGTTTTTTGTCTCATCCGAAGGACTAGACAGCTGTCCTTGTCAGGGCCTCCGTCCTACACCACTGACAAGGGGAAACCACGTCGGAAAATCCAGATGAACTTTCTCGGCCAATGCAGGGATCGAACACCCGACCTCCAGGCTAGCGAGCCAGCGTCTTAACCACCTAGCCACCGTGGCTCCACACCGTAAGGTTATTGTTAGTATACACTGTACCATGTCATATACAAATATGCAATAGGAAAACTCAATGGTGGCCTACTCTTCTTCCTATCAACATGTAGTAGGAAAATTATTAATTTGTCTAACCTATTATAAATCATTCATTCATTTGAGCATAATTAGGTTATTTAACTTTAACTGACAGTAAGATAATATATTGGTAATGACTAGGAAAAATCTAATCAAATTATTGAAGCCCAGACTACATGTATATTGGGGTAGCCAAGTCTCTAACTCAACATTATCCAAAGTCTTAGATATTGAAAACACGAATTATTTGTCAATTTAAATCAACATTGCTGCAGTGATCTTACCGCAAAAAGAAGGGCTTCTGATATCCAATATTTAATAGAAAATAAACATTTTACTATTGGTACGGTACACAAATCGTGTACCATAATGCATTTTACTATTGGTACAGTACAAAAATCGTGTACCATAATGCGTTTCAGTGCCATTTTTAACAACAAGGGACTCAAAGAATGAGGCTAGACATATTCCACTAGTCATGTCAAACGGTGACCTCATATTCTTATCTGGAGAGCATGCGCATAATTTGAAATTAGAGTAAAAATGGAAACGATTGAATGTAAATCAGTTCATATTACATTATATTATTATATGCGTTGCAACCCATTTGTGCCAATTTCTTGGTCCCAAATATTAGCATTTGCATATTGCTCTCTAGGTATAGGCTACTTTAGTACTGATGATAATACTTGACAGGCCCAATGCTTGACTGTTCATCCATTCATCATCTTACAAAAATGTGGTACATGTACATAATGGTGGCTATGTTAATATATGTAGATTGTCTAAAGTATCTTGAAAAATATATTTTTTGTTGTATCAGTAGGCCTACTTTGGGGTGAGCTTACTTAGGCAGTATAATATTAATAGCCTACTGCCTAGTATGTTTTTAAAATATCGATGGTTAGCCTACATGTACCGTATGCATTTTGATTTTGGATCCAGAATTTCAAGGAATTATATCTTTAACAAAATTAAATCAAAATACATAAAACAATCAAAGATATAGTTCACGTATTATGATCAGTTTAATTGTAATGTTACAACTTAAATTACAGAAATATAATGATTAGGATTAGGCCTATCCGATTAGTTAGAGACCTAATGTAATGTCGTAATAACATGTTTTGTTTATCAACAAATTTTTAAGTCGAGATGTCAATGACTAAGAGTACGCCTCTTGTCGTTTTTTCAGGGGTTTTCTTTGTGAGACTTAATTTGATCGTAAAATAGAAATTGATAAATCGTTTACGTAAAAATATGCACATGTACTCACTCAGGTCACTTTTTTGTTTGCATTTTGTCTGAATAATAGTTTTATTTTCGGCATGACCGGAAATTATTATTTCCATCGTCCACCTCCGCAGAACAATATAATCTTCATAACAATTGGCTAAAATTCTCCGACAGGATTACTCAATCGCGGGAAAATTGAAAGTAGCATAATTTTCAAAGCGTGAAGACATGTCATCGTAGTAGATTAGTATGTGTGGCGATGTCGATATGTGAATGTTTGCAGCTGAAAAGGTTTGAACCGAACTAGTGCGAATCCAAAACATTTCCACGCATTAGTAATTCAAGCATTCTAGGAATAAATTTAAAGTTGCTAGTATATTCCTGAAGCAATGGCCCGAGAAATGATCCTCTCGATCGTTTCTCACACAATTAGCTATATTCTGTTATGTACTAGTTAATTGAGCGTAATACCTTTCACGCATTCTGACGTAATGTAGCAACATTTGTCACCAGACACTTTACAGTAACATATTTAGAGCTCTGGTTAATCCTGCTTGATTTTGTTAAGTCATGATGTACTGGTTGTTGATCAGACTATTAATCAGTCATAATTTGGGACAGAAATTTGTGCTAAGTATGACAGTGTTTCAGGCCTTCACATTTATAAAATTGTGTGGGAGCCATAAAAAGTTCCTGCCAATTGTAAAAATTAGAAAAAAAGTTACCATAAAAAATCTCTTCTTAATTATATTGCAAGAGTAATTCTATATTTTTTGGAATTAAGGAGAGCCCAATTGTATTTATGCTTTAGTCTTCTTTAATATTTGGTGAATATGGTAGCATCAGAATTATCATCATGGAAACGGATAGCTCAAAAGTATGCAGTTTAAAAATAAATAAAAACTGAAATTAGTTAATCTCAGTATTTAGGAGAATACATGCAGATTACATAGTACTTCATTCAGTAAAAACTGTAAATATTTTCTTCAAAACTACGATTGATTATTGTTATATTTATTTTATTTCTGCCACATCCAACTACAATTAAGCATATGAGCCTGCCTGACACAGGTAAAAAGCGTTTAAAGCAGTGTTCTGAGGGTGTGCCCCACATTTTAAAACGGGATATATAGGTTTGCCGTTAAGAACACCTCTAGATTATCTATACCGACAACATTTGTACATAAACGAAAATGTTGTTTCGCTAGATAAATTGACTTATTTTTAAAATGCATTAATAATGAAATTAAGTTTGCCAGGTGAAACCAAAGGTATCCAATCGCAGCTAAAAACAAACACATCAGTATATCTCAAAGTTTTTAAAGCTACGTTCCGCTAGCTAATGCCAGTCAGTCATTCACAACTGCTTTCAAGTCTGAAATTTCTAACCATATGGTTCAATTTTATTGCAATAATTCGCTTGCTCATAGGGGTCTTTTAGGAGTTAGAGGAAACCAGAGGACCTGGGGAAAACCCACGAGAATGGACAGACAACCCTAATCCTTGTCACATACATCCAGGGAATCGAAACCATGCCAGTTGACTCAATGACAGATCTTATGATACACTGCGCATGTGCTAACCGTTCGGCCATCCAACCCCCCTTATGTGAATTTGGAGTCCTACATTAATTAATTGTAGAGTTATTACATTTGCCACCAAAAACTAGTATATCACTTTAATTAAGAGTACTGGGCATTTTTTTTCATTTTTTTAATTTTCTGTCTATCCTTCTTGGACATGTATTCAGAGTGGCATGTCAGTTTGTGGAGTTATTGCCCTTATTATGGAAACCATGTAGTCACTTTACAGGGAAGATTGTTTATGGCTATTTATCACCTATTCACAGATATAAACCCTATCACTGATTTTATTTGAATAAACCCCATAAAAACTTACAATCGTGTTTCAAATACTTGCAGAGTTACAACCATTGTCATCGAAAACTTGTATGGTAATTGTTTTCTAGGACAGTTTGTTTTCAATCATTATATACATGTAGTATATCTTTAAAGATACATTATGTTAGATTTAGTTAAAGAGCTAGCCATTCTTGCTATAATAGTTCCAAAATAGATAATGTAAAATGAATAATTTGAAATTTTCATTCAAATTACTCTATTGTGAGCGAAGATAATAGCCTTGAAGGTTTGACAAGACGTGTGCAATAATTTCAACGACTGTACTTGTTGTTCGAAGCTAAGTCTCGCTCCTCCATTTTTAAATTAAATCAAAATATGGCTGAACTGTTCTAATCTATTTAATATTGGAGAAATCCGATGCCATCAAGAGTAGATTATGGCCTGGACAAGTTCATTAATGTCTAATTAATGATTTAGAAAACACTCCAGGCCTAAAAAGAAAGACCGGCAACAGGCAGATTTAGCTCTTGCATAATGTATGTTTAAAGTACCTTACTATCATAGAATGACATATTTCGTATTGATAGACAGACTATAAAGTGCAGTTGAACATGAAATGAATATTAATTGACTACACTATAGCAGACACACACAACCGCACCTATGCAAGGGCATTAAGACCATAAAATACTTAATTTTAATCAATCTTTATTGATAACTGAAATATAACATATGTCACTTGGGCTACATAGTGATGTACTGGCTGCACGTCACTGTCTTTGGACCTGGACTACATGTACCTCCATTTATGACAACTTTCGACAACAACAGCTGGTCACATATTCATGTAGTGTAGGCCTTTGAAAGTATAAAAACACGAAACGAAATATAGATCTGTATTTTAATCAGATTGGCTTGTGCATAGACATTGAACAGTTTCAAATCTCATATTTATTAGTATTTAAGCATTTATTAACATAATGAACTGTCTGGTCCATCGATGACTCTGATTTTAAGTAAATTCGATCATGCAGGGGGTCAGAGAAGGAATTTTTGAAACTCTTGTGGTAGAAAAACACCAGATCAAAAACACTCAATCAACACTATTCGAATTTGAAAATCTTGTTCAGTGTGGTACCACGTAGGGAGATAAGGGGGTCTGAGAAGAAAGTTTTGAAAAAAATGATTTTTTTTCTATGTCCAATATCTTGTGGAACCTTCCTTACATCTTACAAGATGATAGGATAAACTATTAATGTTCCAGCCAAATAAATAGAAACAATTTCATACATTTTTCATGGTCCAATGTTTCCAAACGCCCCCAAAGACCTTGCCATGTTTACATTTGTTTATAATTAAATTAATCTTTTTGTTTATTTTGGTCATCTGTCATGTCGGCTTTTGATTGAAAACCAGCAGTTATCAGACGCATCAGTCACCTGTGTGTTCAAGATTAGAATCCCATTAAATATCAGGACAGTTAATCAGCCATGTTGACATGACTGAAGCACCTGAAAGCCTTGATGATGTAATAAGGTAATTAATTAGTCTGTAAGGTCCTTAACCAAAATGTTTCAATGGAATTAAGTTTCTGATCTGGAAATACACAGTAAGCAGCTCTATGAAATACAGTTATTAATTAATACAGAGCGACGCTTAGACTAGACTTATTAAGCAATTTATTAAAGATACATTATGGTAGCTGGCAGTTCACACTATAATAGTTTTAAAAAATAGATAATGTAAAAGATTTGCTGAAAATTTCAGTCAAATTGATCCACTATGAACCGAGATTTTAGCTATTGAATTTTCGGGCTAGCCTCGATCATCATTACTGAAGTTAGTAGGATAAAAAACATAGTCTCGATTATCCATTTCATGATTTAATTATGAATGGAAGTTGAACAGCAAATCGGAACTTAATCCAATAAACATCGCAGGCTAACGATGGCATCGAGAGTTGATTATGGTCTGGATAAGTTAATTAATGTCTAATTAATAATTTAGATAACATTTCAGACCTAAAGAAAGACCTGCAATAGGCAGATTTAGCTCTTGCATAATGTATGTTTAAGCAATTTATCAAGCACTTCAAGGTTGAATATTGTTAACCACTTTATCAAGCTAGCCAAGGTTGAAAATTAATTAATATTATGACGATTTTGTGAGATCTATAGTCATTTGTGTCTAATTTCAAAGTGCTCTCACTTTAAGGTATATAATAAGCTTCACCCCCAATCAAATCTGTTAACTTTCAAAGGCTAGATATTTGAATCGATACACCTGTAACGTCACATGTATTGCACATGCAAGTTAAAATAGCTGTAGGTGGACAGATTCTGACAGATCACTGTCAATCAAATCAACACATGACCAATTTGAAATTTTTGTGTCCTTTTTCTTGGCTATGAAATAATAATTTAAAAAACAAAAATACTTGGTTGTTATCTCAAATGTTTTTAGTTCCACATTTTGAAGTTTTGAAATTTTAAATAAAACATTTTCAAGTTTGAAATTCTAAATAAAACATTTTCAAGTTTGGAAATTCTAAATAAAACATTGTCAAGTTTTGAAATTCTAAATAAAACATTTTCAAGTTTGGAAATTCTAAGTAAAATATTGTCAAGTTTGGAAATTCTAAATAAAACATTTTCAAGTTTGGAAATTCTAAATAAAACATTGTCAAGTTTGGAAATTCTAAATAAAACATTTTCAAGTTTGGAAATTCTAAGTAAAATATTGTCAAGTTTGGAAATTCTAAATAAAACATTTTCAAGTTTGGAAATTCTAAGTAAAATATTGTCAAGTTTGGAAATTCTAAGTAAAACATTTTCAAGTTTGGAAATTCTAAATAAAACATTTTCAAGTTTTGTAATTCTAAATAAAACTTTTCAAGTTTTGAAATTCTAAAGAAAAAATTTACAAGTTTTGAGATTCTAAATAAAACCTTAAGAACTAAATATGAAATTGAGTTAGCCTGATGATAGAAATAAACTGATGATTGTGATTTGAAATGGTTTTAAGTACAAACAAACCACAGATCCTATTTCATTTCATTTTTTTTTATAGTGATATTGTTTTTATTTGTCTCATTACAATCAACATTAATTGTATGGCGCAATATAGCCCAGTTGGAACTGACGTGCTATAAAATTCCATTTGATTCATTCATTGACGCCTGATGTCTGTCAAATACTGATAACAGAATACCTGACCTAATTCATTTTTTAGAATTTTTGTGAATGCTCGACTATACATA